TTCCCACACCGGCCACTGTTGCACTTCTTCCAATGCCAACCTTCTTGTCCTCAGCTGAATTATTCAGAAAGGGAAGAAAAGGAAAAGCCTTTTTTAAAGAATGTTTTCCCCCATATTGTATGTGTCTCTGTTTATATATTCTGTGCTTACCTACCTGTTGCTCCTTATTTGCTTGCCAGTAGAGTGCTCACCGGGTTTGCATTATATATGAGAGCCAGGAAGGATCCATCATAGACACATGTGAATAGATGCATTATATATGGGAAAGGGCAGCCTGTGCCTTTAAAGGCCCAGTAGAGGAGTCAGTGGAGACTGGCCATCTATAAAACAAACAGGCCAAAGGCACAGATGTTGGTTGTAAGTGGCCTGTGTTGTAACCCCAGTGCCATGCCTCTAGCTCCCTGGTGGTGGTTTTTGTTTTCCTCAAAGCAAATTTAAATTTTGAAGCCCTCATCTTCTGGGATTAGGAGACCATAGAAACCTGGGTATTGTTCATAACTTATGATCTATAGCTCTTTGAAGAGAGTGTCTTTTAGTTCACCTTTAACGTTCATAAGCAGATCAGCTAGATCAAAAAGAAAAACAGGTGTATCCTTGTCCCTGTTCTTCCCAGCCATGTCATTTATCCCACAGGGTTTTCCTACTTGAAGCTATCTTCCTTCCAGCCCCGGTGGGTTTGGAGACTAGAGTAGGCTGGCCTTCAGTAGTGTGGCCTTTTTTGGGCAATGACTAAACCAGTGGTCTCTTTCATTTGACAACTCTTCATATAGATTTTTTTTCACTGATTTTTTTTTTTTTTTTTTTTTTTACCTCCCTGTTCCCTTCTGCCCTAAGCCATGACCTCACAATTCTAATGCTCCTGAAATTTCATATGTTCAGAACTCACCTCCTACTAGTATTTCCCAAACCAGCTTTCCTGCAGCCTTCTCCATCTCAGGTTCAGTTAGGGGCAAGAGGCCTTGGTCTTGTCCTTGTCCCCTCACTTGCACACCTGCCACATCTGGTTGTCAGCAGATTCTGTCAACTTTGCTGTCACATCTGTAATGTGACCACCTTCATCACCTCTCCTGCCCCATCCTGGCCCAAGCAACCATCTTTACAGGCATCTTCTAGTTGGTTCCTTGCTCCTGTCTGTGTTCCTTCCCTGCTCTGATCATGTGTTCCCTTCCCATTCATGGTGAAAACTGAGGCCTTTCTCTGACCCACAAGCCCTCCTTAGTCTGCCTCCCTGTCATTTCGTTTCATCTTCTGATTGCCCTTCTTTTATGCTGCTCCAACCAAACTGGCCTCTTTGCCTTTCTTTACACAAGTTGGGCATGTTCCTTACCCCATGGCTTTGCACTTGCTTTCCCAATGCCTGCAGTTCTCTTTCTCCTGGGGCTTGATGAGCTTCCTGCTTCCATTGGAGGCTCAGGGGTTTCTGGAGCACTCTGTCTAAAAGTTAAAAGTTCAGCCCCTCCCTTGACATGCCATAATGCCATATCCCCCCCCCCCCTTTTTTTTTCTCCTTTAAAATATAGTACAGTATTTATCACTAGCTTAGTAAGGTATGTTATTATTATCTTGTATATTGCCCGTCTCCCAACAATGGAAGATTAGCTTCATGAGGTCAGATGTTTCTGTTTATTGTGTTTGCTGCTCTGTTGCTACCATCTGGAACAGTGCCGGGCTCCTGAGAGTTGTTCAGTAAATGAGTTGGATGAGTGAACAAAATTGCTCAGCAATCCCACCTGGCTCTGTTTTATCTTTGTTAGTTTACTCCCATTGGGTGCAGAGGGCTTATATTTCCAGTTGTTTGCTGGATGTTCTGCCTCGGACTTCATAACTGCTTGAGGTCCTTGTCCTTCATCTTTCAGCTTCTCTTTGCCTCCCCCTCATACAGATGGCCTTTTGATTCTGTGCATGGCCTGTGATTTCCTCTCCTGTGATGGAGCTCTGCTCAGGATCCCCCTTGCCCTTCTTTATTTCCCTACTTCCAGCCCTACCAGTTTAAATTCCATCAGAGCTAGCTGCTATCCATTTAATCAACAGAAGCCTCCTGTACACTAGGAAGAACCTCAATCCAGTGTCCCTGGCATTGTCCATGTGCTTCAATTTGACACTTTCCTTTCCTATGCCATGTTTAGCTGTTTGCGGTTATGGTTGACCTATTTGGTGGATCATACCTGGAGGTCTGTGTCCTTTACGTACTAACAATACTTGTTTTTCTGCAATACCTGGCAGTGTCTTAAACTTACTTAACACTCTATAAAATTGTATGATTGAATGAATAAATTAAGGTAGACTGCCTTATGCTATTACAATGACCTGTTTTCCAAAAGCCTAAAAAATTTTGTTTTCTATTTGGGGGAGAACTGAGTACCTTAGACATTTTTTAATACCAGTCTCCTGCCTCAGGTGTAAGAGAACATCAGCCATCTCTTCTGCATAAGGCTGCATTGAATTTAATTACAGTGGATCTGACACTGTAGGTCTAAGATTTGCTTCTAGTATCATTAATTAATACTAGTGTTATATATAGCCCAAGTATGTCATACATTCTTTAGCTTGAGGCAAAAGAGTTTTAATAGATTTGTTTATTTAAGTGAGAGACCGATTTAAATCTTTTAACTTAAGGTACTTTAATATGACATGAACACTCATCACCAGTGATTATTAGCTTCAGTTTCTTTGACCAGTAATACTATAATTAGGTGCAACATATGCTCAATATAGTTATATTCTGTGATACTCCATCACTACAGATATCTATACTATATATATAAAAGGCTAAGTCACCGATCATTTGTCTATCTGACCAGCCAGCCAGTACATACATATAATGCATACTAGCAATTTAAAAATAAACATTGACTCTCGCATGTGCAATATAAAGCGCTCGCTGGCGCCAATGGCATGTGTGTATTTTGATTTGTCATTGTTGATTGGGAATTTGGTTGTTTTTGTTGACATTTTGAAGCTGAAAGAAAGCAGTGGCATGGACAGAATATGACCAACGAGGCACAACGTACCTCTGAAGCCAAGAGAAGCCGGTGTCCCCATCTGACACTGGCCTCCCATTTAAATTAATTTAAAGGCAACCCGTGACGTCAGCATTTGCGATGACTATTAATAAATCACAAGGACAAACTCTAGACAGAGTAGGAATATTCCTACCTGAACCTGTTTTTGGACATGGTCAGTTATATGTTACTTTCTCTTGAGTTCAAAGAGCATGTGATGTTAAAGTTGTAAGTACTTCATCACAAGGGAAATTAGTCAAGCACTCTGAAAGTGTTCTTACTCTTAATGTGGTATACAGGGAGATTTTCAAAAGAATAAGTTTAATCAATTTATCAGTCATTGTTTTTACCAATGTTTTTATATCAAGTTTTTGTTTTTATATCATGTCTTTGTTATATGATGTTATTGTTTACTAATCAATTTATATATTATTTTCATACATTTTACTAATTTTCTTTCATCTCTGACACTTCTATTATAAAGGTTAAAAAGTGATATTAAAATATTTTTTCTAATTAATTTCTTTTCTATGTGCACAAATCCGTGCACTGGGCCACTAGTCTAATACTAGTATAAACAAAAACAGTTGGGGCTCACTCCCAAACATATTACTATAAAACATGTTAGAGTGGCTTTTGGTGTCCCCTACTTCTTTTCTTTGGTCTTTCTATTCTTGTCTGCTTTTAATTTCTTTGTTCTTGTTGTTGGCATACTCATTGTTCTGTTGATACAGAAATAAATTTTAAAGTTTCATATCTATCTGATGAGCTCCTTGTTACCAAGCTTGGTCTTTAGTTTCGAGATAGACTTTTTCAGGATCTTTTTTTTTATTACAGCAGTGAAAGTAACCTTATCAAAATTCTTTAGACTCTTGCCCCTTGCTCAGTGTTTTCCTGTTTATAGAAGCACTTATGAATAGTCCCAGGAACTACAAACTCCTTGTTACTCAATAGCACCAGTGTCTGATAGAAGATGAGTTTAACAGCTTGACAGACCTCTCTTGAAAGGGGCTAACTCCTTGTCCTAAGTCTTCAAGTGACAACAGAAGTCCTATCTTGCTCATTCATTTGTCTTCCCCTTGCTGGGCTATTTATGTTTCTGGTGTGATCGATGCAACTGATTTTTCTGGGCATGCTATAGCCAGCATTGTTTTTTACTGCTGCTCTATTTTTCATTGTGAAGAATGATCTTTTTTTAACCATTCAGATATTTTGAAAGGTATTTGTAATTTAACACTCACATAACATTTTCTTTGGCAACAGCTTACTTCACAAACTGTCTACTCATTACTTCTAATGAAGAAATAATCTGTTTTTATAACATATTTAGCAGGTTAAATTTCTTTAAGTTGAGGCATTAGGAAAATAAATGATAGTAAAAAAAAACCCTTTGATTCTCCTTTCATTGAATTTTCAGAAAATATTTCAAAATCTGAAGTGTAACTTGAATACTTTCAAAGTACAGTGTCTCTTAAAGGAGGTGTTAAGTACATGACTTGAGTGAAAATTAGTTTGTTCTTAGATATTAATTTTGCAGTAGAAAATAAGGGTGTATACCAAGCTTTTGCCTGAAAAATTACTGAAATTTATGGCGAATTAAAGTGTTGATTGGGAAAATACCTGTTGAATTGCAAATGATAGGAAAATACAGAATCTTAAAAAGAAGCAAAATAAAACATAATAAGCACAGTATCATGATTTCCCTTCTCTCTGGTTGCCCAGGATGATCGGGGCCAATATGCTTAATATTCCTGTTGTTATTTCTTATCCTTAATTTTCTTTATTTTTCTTACTTATTTTATCCTTCCTTATTTTGAAACTAAAAGAGATGAGAAGTAACTAAAAGTGAAGTAATGTGTTTTGTGGTTGTGTCTTACATTTATCATGCCTTATAACTAGGATATCTTTCTGACCCTTTATCTAAATTGCACCTGTAACTAAATCCTAACTAGTCTGTCAGTGTGCTACTAATGTCTCTGTGCTTGTTTTGTTTTGTAGATTGGCTCGCAGAGTGATTGCTCATCCCCCTGGACTTTGATTCTGTGGTGCCAATGGAGTGTAGGACTCAGTTGTCTGGGCTAGAATGACAGAAGCCTAATGTCCAAGATGGAGAAGAAACGAAGAAAGAAATGAAAGCCTCTTTTCAGGCCAAATCACAAAAGGCCATGAAATTTAACTTTTATTTACATTGGACAAGACTGTAAAATGGCTGATCAGTAATGTTTCAGCTTTTAGCTGAAACAAAAATTAACTTATAATCAAGGAAGAAAAAAGTGTGATTTGAATTTATGCAATTTTATGACCATATTCACTTATGACCATGAAGCTTGTCAACATCTGGCTGCTTCTACTAGTGGTTTTGCTCTGTGGGAAGAAACATCTGGGTGACAGACTGGAAAAGAGATCTTTTGAAAAGGCCCCATGTCCTGGCTGTTCCCACCTGACATTGAAGGTGGAATTCTCTTCAACAGTTGTGGAATCTGGTAATGATATTTTTAAAAATATTTTTTATTGATTTCAGAGAGAAAGGAAAGGGAGAGAGCGATAGAAATATCAGTGATGAGAGAAAATTATTGACCAGCTGCCTCCTGCACACCCCACACTGGGTATTGAGCCCACAACCTGGGCATGTGCCCTGTCCAGGAATCAAACCATGAATTCCTGGTTCATAGGTTGATACTGAACCACTGAGCCACAAAAGCCGGGCATGATATTCTTTTATTTTTATTTTTATTTTTTTAATTACTTTATTGATTAAGGTATCGCATATTTGTCATCATCCTTCCCATTCTCATCCTAAACCCATCCCCACGCATGCCCCCACCTCCCTGTTGTCCATGACCACTGGTTAGGCTCATATGCATGCACACAAGTCCTTTGGTTGATCTCTCTCCCTTATCCCCACCCTCCCCTACCTTCCCTCTGAGGTTTAACAGTCTGATCGATGCTGTTCTCGTTCATCAGTCTGTTGTTCATCATTTCCCCTAGACGAGTGAGCTCATGTGATACTAGAAATAGACTTATAAGAACTGAAAATGAGACAAGCAAGATATTCTTTTAAATGTTAGGGATTCCGCCTATTCTTTTTGTTTAAAACTTACTTTAAACATTAGCTTTTACGGAAAACACACACACACACACACACACACACACACACACACACACACCCAGTTTTAAAAAACTACATTTCTTTTCACAGTAAAGTTCAGATAGGATGAGTGCATAGCACTGGGATATTATATTCACTTTGCTGAAGTTTCCTTCCCCAGTGTAATTAGCTTATATGAAACAAGGAAATGGATGTACTGAATTCTTTTCCTAAACCTTGATTCCATTGTAACTGGTTGGAGGGTTGGGAGTTTGAAGGTGCCAAATGTTTAATGTACTGAAGTACAAGCGAGCAGATGTGATAACTAGCAAATAATTTTGTATAATCTCCAAATTTTTTGTTTTCAGTAAAATAAAATTGAACTTTCACTTCTCTGGGTTCTTTTTGCTTGTTTGAAAAACTTACATGTATTTCTTTGTTGTATATTCAAACTTCTAACATTTGCTTTTTTAAAAATAGCACAGTTATCTGGTTTTGAGTAATGTAGTCTGTAATCAGGGGATTCATACAGAATATTTTAATATAAAGTTCTGAAAACTGCTGTCCAAAACATTTAAACCAGTCTTTTTGTCTACTGATCTTTTCTCTGTGGGTTTTAAAATATGTAAGTTTTCTTTTACTAGGGACATTTTAGATTAGATATAATCTTATATGTGTACATAAATTCTTATTTTTATTTGTGGTCATTGATTTCAGAATATATTGTGGCTTTCAATGGATACTTTACAGCCAAAGCTAGAAATTCATTTATTTCAAGTGCCCTGAAGAGCAGTGAAATAAACAATTGGAGAATTATTCCTCGAAATAATCCATCCAGTGACTACCCTAGTGATTTTGAGGTGATTCAGATAAAAGAAAAACAGAGAGCGGGGCTGTTAACACTTGAAGATCATCCAAACATCAAACGGGTAACACCCCAACGGAAAGTCTTTCGTTCCCTCAAGTACACAGAGCGTGAGTACTGAGATCCAGGCTAATGTGTATCAATTTCTGTTTCACTTGGATTTAGAAAGAGAATGTACATTTTCACCCATGTTGTGCTCCACCTCCTCCATAGTCCACCTTGAATTTATTTTGAAAACTCAACTGACAGCATAGCTGAAAAATAGTATAGTGAACAAAAAAAAAAAAAAAAAAAAAAAAAAAAAAAAAAAAAAAAAGAGGCTTTCATATTGTCTGGTAGGGAAAAAAAAATCAAAGTTTACAGTAGAGGATGATAGTGATTTTTGTTTCTGTTGGGAGTAATTTTCACCCAGGTTTGTCTTCAGACATTGAGGCCTTGATGTCCCTTCACACTGAAATGAAAGTAGGTGCCTTTATGAGTCTCCTCCTTGCTTGCATTTTGCTACTGTCAGTATGTTTTCATTTCTTTCATGGCAAAATGTCTTTTCCTTGGGTTTCATTTGGTTTTCTCAGCCTCCTGACTATACATGATCCTGCCTTAGCTGAGTTTATTTCAGTCCTAAGTTTTGCAGATGTGAAGATGGAAAGAATTCAGTTATTTGCTTTTCAGTTCGAGGGCTTATTTCCGACACCTTTACAACTTGGGCTTGTCAAAATAGAGCTTATCCTCAAAAATTAATTGCCTGTTTATTACATAATATTTTTCAAAGCATGTGTATTAGCAAAGAAAAGGTGTGTGTTTTTCCTGTTATAAACTGAAGTAACAATATCTATAGTTCTATTAATATTTCTTTCATTGGGAGAAAAAATAAATGAAATTTTTCTTTTGTTCCTTTGTCATATATTGGGCCTGAGAGCCTCTGAGTTTAAAAAACACACACACACACACACACACACACACACACACACACACACACACACACACGGGAGAGAAGGCTAACTAATTTGCATAGTCTGACCAGCCACATCCCAGTCTCAGGTGTCTGACTTCTTCAGAGCTCTTTCTACTAGTCCAGATGTTTTGTGGAGCTTTTTCTCTTTAAAAAGCAATAGCCTCAAAACAATCCAGGAAGATTAAAGGAAATCAAACCTTGTACAACGAGCTAAATATTGTATGTTGTTTCTTTTTATTTTACCTTAAAAAGCTTCGGAATATTTTAGGAAACATGGGAATGCCTAATGTTAGCACAGTAATCATAGAATGTGATGGTTAGGCTTCTTTGTAGCCTCTCCACCATGGCTGTCTAATGCTGTGCTTAATATCCTTGACATAGGAGAAAATTTACTTCCCCATAGGCCCACTGTCTTAGTGCTGCTATTCGTGCCTTTGTGCAGTGACCAGTTTTTCTTTGTTTCAACTTTTTTATCCTAAAAAAGGACAGAATACTCTCTACCTCATAGGGTTCTTATGAAGCTGAAATGTAATAGTGGATGTGAACAGATCTCAGCAGGTTTTAGCGTATTGTAAGTAGACATTAAATGTTAATTATTCCTATGGCTCTGTTGTTAGAAGGCTTTGCTTTATTTAGGCTGATACTTGTCTTACTCTGGATCTTATCCCTGGCTCTATGCCATGAGCCTTAAGACAGAGCTAACCTGTTTTTTACCAGATAAAACTTAAAGATGTATTTTGAAGATATTCATGCTATCTCCTCTTTAGAATTGCCTCTCTATAGGATAATAAAAATCTCCAGTTCCTTCAGCACTTACTCATATGACATGATTTCAAGTCCCTCATCATTTGAATTGCTTTCTTTTGAATATTTTTCAGTTTTTCTAAATTGTTTTCAAAGAGTAAAACCAAACTGAATTCAGTACTTAACATAAAACAGAAGAGTCCCCCCCCCACCTTGTTCTAAATATTATTCTTCAGTGAGTACCTTCAGTATTGTCCTGTGCTATTGACTTAAAGAACAGAATCAACACAGGAAGTTTAGTACAGAATAATTGCAGTTGGACTATGCAAATAATTACTTAGTGGAATTGACATGACTATATATTTTTCTAGTTCCCCTGTACTTTCTTGGGTGTAGCCTGGTAAGACCAGGATAAAAATTATAGTTATTTGTTTTAAAAACAGAACTTCAGGAGTATTATAGATTTGCTCTTCTTAAGACTGAGTTGAAGTACATTTTTTTCTTCATTATAGCATTAAAAAAAAAAGTATTTACAGATAGTTAAGTCACTGCCTTTTAGTTAACAATTCAGCAAGTTTTGATGAACGTGTACGATCAGGTACCCAGCAACAAAATCAAGATACAATTTAGTTCCATACCCTCAGAAATGCGCCTGACTCCCTTATAGTTCTTTGCTTTTTGAAAGGTGGCATTCTAGTAGATAAGCATACTGAGAATATCGAGAAATATACAGATGGAAGAAGGTCCTATTGATGTTTGGCCAGAGGTGGGTGTAGTGTAATGAGGTAACATGGCTTTTTCCTGTCCCAGAAATCAAGTGCTATAAAACTTCACGATCGAGTAGTGGCCATTCTCTTCAACTTTCCCCCTTTTTCTGGTTCAGCAAGAACAAGTTGCTGATGAAAAATCTTCGGTGTTAGCAACACAGTTAATTTTATTGCTTAAAAATTAATTGTTTTATCAATCTTTTTGCCTTACATTGGTAAGAAAATGTTAGGTAAAAAAAACTATTTGGGAACCAAATGATGGTCAATAAGAGGCTATAAATATAACTGCATTGAGAAAATCCTTCTAGAAAAGGGAGAGAATCCCATTTTCCTTCAAAGAGGATTTCAGAAGGTAATCATTGCTGTTTAGAATGATTGTTTTCTCTGACAAGTATCGTGTCATTTCAGTGTTGTTCCTTTCTTGGCTCTAGCTGACCCCACAGTGCCCTGTAATGAAACCCGATGGAGCCAGAAGTGGCAGTCGTCCCGTCCCCTGCGAAGAGCCAGTCTCTCCCTGGGCTCTGGGTTCTGGCATGCTACTGGAAGACATTCGAGCCGGCGATTGCTAAGAGCCATCCCACGCCAGGTTGCTCAAACGCTGCAGGCAGACGTGCTTTGGCAGATGGGATATACAGGTGTGTGCCATGAACCTGGAAGCAGGGTAGGGTCTGGTGTCCAGGAGGCCCCCCTCTCGAGTGTCTAGCCCAAAAGCCAGGTGGCCTAATGCACCTATGCATCTCACTCTTGGTTGAGCTGGACACAGTCAACTGCCCCTCATCTTTGACTCCTGTTGTGCTTGGCATCTGTTGCTGTTGCTTTTTATAATTATTTGATTCTGTTCACGTTTTGTGTCTAATTTTTCGGTACCATTTCTGAGGTTAGATGGGGTAGATTGCAAAGTATTTCTTTTCTCATGACAGATCTGTGAATAAACACAGCACTGTCCACTGTTAGAGATGATGAGTAGGTCAGCAAAGTTTTATAATCTCTCAGGGAAAGAGATGAGGTTTAAGATAGCTAACCTTTCATGATTTGTACAATTTCACGAAACTGAGTTTATCATTCCAGTGTGGTGCCCTATGTGCAGAATGGCTAAGTAACTGGCTGTCACACTTGATCATTTATTTCAGAACAGGAAACAATAATGACCATATCTTATGAAAGAAACTCACATCCAGCAAGATTTTTTTTTTCTTTTCTTACTGATTCATCATGGCAGAAAATTTCTATTTCAACTAATGTGAAGATTTGGACCCTAACTTATATATGTAGCCCATTTCCCTAGCCCCCAACACAGCACAGTTTGCCTAGGTGTCTTTACCCATATCTCCTAGACTTGGAGACCCTTACCTCTCCTCTGATTTCCTCAGCCTCCTGCCTTTCAGAATGCCTGAGACACTTAAACTTTTAACACTGGTGGACTAACATTTTATTAAAATGATTGTGTTTGCTTGTTTTTATCTTTTGAGGGTGAAAACTCCTTCACAAAAGAAATTCTCTAATCTTCAGAAATACATTTTTTATTTCCCAAACCAAATTATTTCCAATTTTATGTGTGTCTTTTTTAAAAATAAGCAATTATTTTGTTGGTTATATCACTATAATTGATTATATAAGGTAGTATTGGTACATAAACACAACTTTCATTCCAAAAAGACATTGCTTTCATTACAGCTGATAGCTGTTAAACAATAGAATTATCTTTTTTTTTCTTCTATTTGTTCTCTAGAATTTCTTGATCTGATAGCATCTGTTATTTCATATTGATGCAGATGGCTTTTGGCCAGAGTCTGAAATAAATTAATTATTATAAAAACGTGGGTTTTTTTTTTTCTTGAAATGGGATTACCTCTGCGTGTTCACAGCTCCCCTCTGCAGAGTTTGTTCTTATGAATAAGCATCAGTGAATAAGTCACTGTCCTTGTCAAGAGTCAGGATAGTTCCCCTGCTCCTAGAGGTGTGTGCTTAGTGAGTGCTTCTTTAAAGAGGTAAGGGGACAGACTTGGAGGGAATTACCTCAAGGGGAAAATCTATCATCGGAGGGGGAGTGGGGAGAGGTGGTTCATTCCTGAGCCACAATGACAGTTGAGTGTCCAGCGAGATATTTTTGTTTATCCTCAAGTCTTATTTAGCAGCAGATGATGGTGTTCCCCAGCCAGGATCCTGGGGCATCTCCTCTACTTGTGGATTCTGGGCCAACTTTGACCCTTGATGACATGCTTTCCATGGGTCACAAGGAGGGATGTGTGTTATAGACAAAAATTCAAAATGATGATTTCTCAAACCTGATTGTGCTTGCTTGCTTTTTGGGATAAGGTGCTAACGTAAGGGTTGCTGTTTTTGACACTGGCCTAAGTGAGAAGCATCCCCACTTCAAAAATGTGAAGGAGAGAACCAACTGGACCAACGAGCGAACGCTGGACGATGGTAGGTGGCCGCACAGTGGTGAGAGCATGCATGAGGCATTTTCTGGTCACGTATGGGCTTCATGCAGGACTCCCATCCCTCATTTTAGCAGTTAAATGTTTTTTTTCTGAGTATAAATGATTAAGCAGTTTGTGTGCAATAGTTATTCAGACAAACTCAAGTTGTTACTGTGCCTTTTAGTGGAAACTTTTCTAAATGTCTTAGGATGTTGGGAGGTGGTATTTGAGTAGAGAGAGGGGTGCCTGGTGGAGGAGAAACTACCTGTTGGGGAAAGAACGGGACTGTCTAGATGCAGAAGTGAGGCAGGTGCGGTGAGGCCTCTGAGTGGAAGACAGTACCGAGGGACAGAGGTTCTACACTAGGACTTGGAGAATGAGCCTGTTTGAGTTGGTTTAAAATATTGCACATTGGTACATATTACCAGCAATTTTATGACTTTTTTTTCTTCTTTTTTTTTTCCTTTATTTTTTATTTGACTTCTTTTTCTTATGGGCAACAGGGCTGGGCCACGGCACTTTTGTGGCAGGTGTGATAGCCAGCATGAGGGAATGCCAGGGATTTGCTCCAGATGCTGAACTTCATATTTTCCGGGTCTTTACCAACAACCAGGTAGGTGTTGAGAATCCCTGAAACTTAAGGAATTGATATTAAAATATAAAAGATTAAAACTTCAGAAAATACATACATACTAGTTTAAATGAACACATCAGCGAGCTGAGCTGCTGTAGACGTTCCATGTGTGCCATATTGTCTCTCCCCTGTCCCTTTGGTATGGCTTTGCCCTTCTGCCCCACCCTTCATGGCCTCACTGGAACCCCGAAGCCCCTGCTTCGGGCACCTGTGCATAGGGATTCCTTGACTGCCTGTTCCTTCCTCTCCTTTGGGCCTGTGCCACCACATCTTGGGCACATTTCTAGTACTTTCTACATGAAAGAATAATCACGTTTGTGTGTTTTCACCCCTATTGGATGTGACCTTGAGGGTCACCTGTGTAGCCCAGCATTTTGCATCAATTTGAGCAATGTGGATTTACAAGCCTTTTCCCTTATTCTTCATTAGGAAACGATTTATAGGTTAGGGAGAAGGTTCTAGTATTTATATTTAACATGTAATTTCTGTTAAGTAACACATAGTGTTATATATTTGTGTAAAAGGCAATGCAGAGTAAATCTCCCAACCCTGTCCCCATCCAGCAGGTGCTCCCCTTACTTCCCCATCTCTTGTGAAGATTTCTTAATTTCTTATACCCCTCCTCCTAGGATTTCTTTTGCATTTACAAGCAAATACAAATACGTAGTCTTATTTTTAAAAGCCTTTAGAAAACCTGATAATTATTACACTCATTCTTTTTATTGTAAGTTTAATTTGGTATTTTATAGAAACACCTAAATGGTGATACACAAAGTAATTTAACGTCTGTCAGGGAACGAGGAGGAATTGAACATCAAATAAATAGTTCTAGGAAATAACTTCTGTTGATGCCATTTATCCTTCAACCTATTTATCAATAAAGATTACTAGACAAATACATTAAACTATTTAGTTTAATAAACTTGACTTAATACAAGTGTCTTAGGATTAATCATTTTGTAAGAGGGGCAGTTAGAAGTTTGGGGTTTTGCCTCGGGGGGTGCAGTTGAAGGTAAGGAGCTGTACCTTAGCCCTCAGAACATGCTCTTTTGCTGAAATCTTAAGAGTTTCTGGATGTAGAAGTTTATATTATTCTTGGCATTTACTTCTGCAATTTAAGTTAATATTTCATGCTGCTTAGGGTTTATACTTTACCCTTAAAATTAAAAACTCTATTGTACACTTTGACACTTTCACTAAAACACCTGAAAGACTGTCTTAACATTAACCAGGTGTCCTACACATCCTGGTTCCTGGATGCCTTCAACTACGCCATCTTAAAGAAGATCGACGTGCTCAACCTCAGCATTGGCGGCCCTGACTTCATGGACCACCCCTTTGTTGATAAGGTTGGTCATATCACTACATAGAACCTTGCCCTTGGTAATGGCTCCCTTCACAAGCCCAATTCTGATGCTTCATCCCTGTGCTGCTAGTTTGCCACCCACAAGGTGACTGTTTTGTAAGGACAAATGGCTGATGATGTGAGGTTTAGTGATTTGCATTAGATAGTAGGACATGGTGTGTTGTTGACTCCTCAAGTAAACATGTAACTCATGTTTTCTGAACATGCCTGGATAGCCAGTGTCTGCTCCATGTGCTGCGTAGTCCTATGTCCTGGCTTTTATTCTTGCTAACATACCAGTTACCAAACACTTCCATGCCTATAAGGGTCTAGTGGTACATTTTCAGGGGGAACCCTTCTTAGGACTAATTTTCACTTGTGTTTATTTTTGATAGTTATCTATTGATTGTTTAAAAGTGGTGTTCTTTCATAACTAAATGCTTGCTAATTTTGTAGGTGTGGGAATTAACAGCTAACAACGTAATCATGGTTTCTGCTATCGGCAATGATGGGCCTCTTTATGGGTAAGTATCCCCAATAGGGATGAATTTAGAGGTGGTTCCTCCCTGAAATAACTGAAAAACTGTTGACTGTTTTTGTATTTATATCTTTTTATATCTACCTAAAAGTGCATATGGGAATTTTCAGCATACCAAACAGGCTGCGTAATGACCCTCAGGTTCCCACCGCTTGCTTCAGTAGTTACCAACTCAAGGCCAGTCTTGTTTCTGTTTAATTTCTCTTTTACTTTGCTATAAATAGAACCTTGGAAGCCTAATATTTTTATTTTATTTTTTTTCTTCAAAATCAGGAAAGTCAATCTGTTAGAAAATGAAAGGATTTTGCAGTATTTGTGGAGACCACCTCTGTAGGAGGCACAGGGGTGAGAAGGTAGATAGATGAGAAGTCTGCCTCTCTAGGGAAGATCAGGAATAAAGGAAACTAACATGGAGAAAACAACATAATAGACACAGATGGGGTGCTCTGGGGGTTGACAAGAAGGATCAGATGGAGAAAGCAGAGAGAACAGTGTCACAGAAAAGTCCCTTTGTGCTGTGCTGGCGTGGTGAGCCGAAGCAGCATGAGATACAGAACATTAGTCACTGAATCACAAGCAGAAAATTTTGGTTTACAAATCCCAGTTTTATTTTAATCTGCTGCTCCAATTTTTATTCTCTTGGTAATATATATAAATAATTTCTTGTGCTGAAATTCTTTTGCAGTAGGATTTGTCACCCTCTTTTATTGGTTACTAAGATATGTATGGTTCAGTGCACTAAAAAAGAGTTTGAGATCACCACAAAGGGAAAAGAAAATACAGAGTCTGCCCTTAATGTGTCATAACCTGTTAGAAGTAGAGACGAATGTGTGTGTTCCTTCCCAAATGCGTGTGAGTCTATGGTGCACACAGCGAGGATGTGTGCCTGGGCCTCAGAAACACTCACTGCCTTGCAGCCACATCCCTGGGAGTGCTGCTGGCTGAGCAGGTGGCCTTGAGTACTGGTTGAGCTTATGTAAGGGATTCAGGGCATAGGGTTAGGCTGAATATATTGAAATTAATGTTTTTATTGGCCAAAATCCATGCATATTGACAGCCATGTTTCTGACCCAATAGTCCTTTAGTCAGTGACCTTCTTGTAAACGGTCCAGAGTATTGGCTTTTTGTGTGTCATTAGTAATATTTGAGTCATAGGTGGCAGAACTATAATTTTACCATGAAAAACACCAGTTTCCAAGTAATCTTATCAAGTTTTCTTGTTTTTCCTTTCAAATGTTTCTCAAGTTTGCCACTTCTCCCATTTCTGATGTCTCCCCGCAAGGCCGGCCCTTGTCAGTTCAGAGTCATCCAGTTATGAGGTGGGGTCCTAGCCTGTCTTCCTGCCTTTCAGTCTCTTCCCACCCCAGCTCTTCCTGCATGGGTGATGTGGGCTGTGGGCAGGGTGCAGGTGCGGAGCCAGACTAGTCCCACCTTCCCCTTGTGGGCTAGGGGGCCTTCACTCTTGGAGCCTCAGGCTCCTCACCTGTCACAGGAGGGCATGACACCTGACCCAGAGGTGGTTAGGAGGATAAAATTAGAGAAAGTACCACAAATACTGGGCCTCTATAAGTAGTGGCTCTTTTTTTTCCCTTCCTTTTTTGTATGTCTCTACTGTTAAAATCCATGTTCTGGCAGTTTTTTTATTCCAGATTTTGCAATGGGTTATTGCCTTATCAAACTTGAAATTTTCTTCTTGATTTTCTTTTTTCTTTTTTTAAATATATTTTATTGATATTTTACAGAGAGGAAGGGAGAGAGACAGAGAGCTAGAAACGTCGATGAGAGAGAAACATCGACCAGCTGCCACCTGCACACCCCCTACTGGGGATGTGCCCACAACCATGGTACATGCCCCCGACTGGAATCTAACCTGGGACCTTTCAGTCCGCAGACCGACGCTCTACCACTGAGCCAAACCGGCTTCGGCTCTTCTTGATTTTCAAGGTCCTCAGTATTGTAGGCTGCAGTCACCAAACTTTTTCTGTAAAGGATCAGATAATGAATACTTAGGCTTTGCGGGCATGTAGTGTGACCCTTGTAGTGTGAAGGCAGCCTTGGAATGTGTAAATGAAAGGTTGTGGTTGTGTTCCAGTAAAACTTTACTTACAAGTGCAGGTGGTGGGCCTGTTGTGGCCCCTCTGCCATAGTTCACCATTGTCACCTGAAGTTACAGGCTCAGCTTTATTTTCCATTACTGTGTGTACACCTTCCTCAGTTCCAGTTTCCTCATGGATCTCCCTAGAGACTATGTTTTTCCCATCTCCATCACCTGTTCCTGCTGCTGAGCTTCCTAGCTTGTCTTCCTTCTGTTCACATCTGAGGTCCCAGCTCCTCCACATGCCATTCTGACTATTTTGCCAGACACAAATCGCTCTTCTGAAATCCTGTGACTTCTCTGGAGAGTCACACACACTCAGTAGCTTGTAATCAAAGAGCTGTTAGTTTCCAGTGTATTAGAGAAGAACCCTGGAGAGGAGGGCCCTGTGTTGCTCATTGTGTCTGCCCATAGAGCTGCACAGATCTGGATCTGCCAGCTGCTCAGTAGTGATAGGAATGGCATGTAATCAGGACAGCACAGCTTGTGTGGTTCTGGCTTACTGCTTGGGCATCGGGTAGTTGGATGACGGGATTGTACGAAAATTGTTGGGTCACTTATTGCAGGCATGGAGCTGCCAGTCACTCTGCAAATAATGCTTACATCTCCAGATCCCCTTGCTGTGAGCTCTCTCAGGGTCCTGCACCCTTGACACTTAAATTTACAGTGCAGTTGCAGCTTCCCCTTTCATTACCAATAAAGGTTTCTTGATGTTTTCCCTTCTAGTTTAAGGGTTTAAAGCACACTAAGTATTACAGGGATTGACAGGTAGAGGAAAGGTCAGAGGGTGGCTTTTTTTTTCATCAACTACAGTGGGAAGTTTTGTCAGTGACTTCTAAGCTTTGCTCCTGAATTTCATAGAAATTATAAATTTTTAGCATCAGACAGTAAAATATCACTGTTGGTGCCTCTGAACAACCACTTGATAGTATGTTATTGGCCAGTGGGCAAAAAGGCAGTGCCAGGGTCTATTCATTGTGGTTTAAATAATTGGTCAAAAACACATGCTCTAAAATCTTGTTACTAATTTCAGTAAAGCCACTTGGAATCAGTTTTGGTTATTGAATTGTCAGAGTTCATTTTTTTTTTTTGGTAGCAGAACTAGCAAATAGATAAAGCTCAGAAATGCATTTTCCTAAGTGCATACTTTCAAATAATTTAGTTGTATCTGGATTTAATAGTTTAAACATTTTTTTCATTATCAATTTCACTATAATTTCTTTGCAGATCTAGTACACCTGAAGTATGGAAGAGAATTACATGGTTTTTCTCTGCCTCTTCCCTTTGAGGAGGTCAAGATTATGGAGTAATGGTTATCATTTCCACTATTCCCAGTGAGGAAAGGGGAACACCCTGTAAATGATCAGTTGAAAATTAACTTCCTGACCGTGGCAGGTGCAAATGTGTGATTACAGCTCCTTCCCAGTGGAGTGTGGGATCTAACTGGAGAGGCTGATGAATACACTTGGAACAATTTGAAAGTGATGTGAGAATGTATAAGTAGGTGATGAATTATCATAGTGTTAGATCCTGTGAAGTTAGAGAAGGGGGATTCCTTCAAGTCAGAAATAGTGAGGGAAAAACAAAGTCTTGGGCCAAAGTGTGATACGTTGACCGGGAGGAAAGGAAGAAAGGGTGGCAGTAAGCCTGGCCTTCCACAGGACAGCTGTAAGTAGCAGCAGTCCATCGCAGCCGCGTGTCTTGACACAGAAGAGCCTTATAACGTCTTAGATTTTTTCAGGGAGGATTTGCCTTGGAATTATTCACTTAAAATTATTTTTCTTTCCTTGTGTTTTTGTGCCTCAATTTAGCACTCTGAATAACCCTGCTGATCAAATGGATGTGATTGGAGTAGGTGGCATTGACTTTGAGGATAACATCGCCCGCTTCTCTTCAAGGGGAATGACTACCTGGGTAGGTTTTGTTTCATGTGCCTAAAGGAACTGTTTGTCTCAGAGCTTTTGGGTGTATTTGTAAGTGCACAGATAGAAAAGCTTGTAAGCCCAACACTCACATGCGTGGATGGCATAACCAGGTCTGTGGATACTTGTCAGCCATGAGGACAAGAGACCTGGCCACGTTGATCTGGCCTGCCACTTGACAATGGTGCAGCAGGCAGGGACAGGTTCTGAGTGGTATTTCTTGGTTCCCCTCAGTTTTACTTATTTATGAGCGACTCATTCTGTAGGTCAACTGGATTCATGCCCACTTGTCCTAAGTAATAGGAAGGTGAGTAGTCCTCCTTGGTGCTAGGTGAGATGATTTTTTTAGACCTTAAGAAACAAGAAGCCAGTGAGAAGAACTCTGCTAATGCAGAAGTAATTGTATTTAGCTGGACAAAATGGAAATAACTCCAACAAGTTAATTCAGTTACTCTGGGTTTAATCATGCATCTAATCCGTCCTCCTTTACCCATCAGAACAGTGGTGGAGTCAATGTTAGATGCTCTCTCAGGTAGCAATAGGCACTCTTGCCTGCCCCACAGGGTCTTCATGGTCACATCACTCTGGGTGCTCTTATTTAAGGGTGCCAAGCTTTGAGGTCTTGGGAAGTCCCAGAAAAGACTTCGCAGCCTCCTGAGAACATGGTGGCCTTGTCTGCACTGGCGCCACTTTATTGGGTAGCCTTCTCCCTCTGTAACATCGCCTCTCCTGGCACCATTTTCAGTTGGCCTCACAGTGAGCCCATGCCATATGTATTTGGATACCTTCTTCTTGATGATGTTCAGTTGTCAGCAGTCGGGTGACCCCACCCTGAGAAAGTCAGTCCCAGGGATATGTTTCATATTCATTCATGTGTACTCCCTTAGCATTTTCTTTGTATGGCTAAATACTTGGAAACAACACCTCCACCAGTTGATGTCTCTCTGGCTCCCTCGGAAATGTTTTTGTGAGATTATAATGCATTGTCATGCCCTTAGAAATGTTCCTGAGACACTTACTTACCGAGCTGTAGTTGAAGGTATCTTTACACAGTGTCCCACATAGCTGGATGCAAGTCCATTTATGTTTGACTGCCATGAAAGGTATTTTCACTTCAGTTGGATTACTTCTTTCTACAGAATATACGATCCTATTGTAATTCTTACTTTGCCTCAATTTCCATGAAATTTTAGGGTATTCCATTAAAATCTTATCTGTTACTCGTATAGTTACATTTATCATTCTGAATGGTTTATTCTTTCCCTCTGGTTGAAGATTAAAATCTTCAGTTATATTATGCACATGTTTCTTATAAAGAAATTTTTCTTTTAATTTTTAGTATTGTCTGATTTTTCCAAGATATTCCTAATTTTTAAGTTATTTAGCAATAAATCAGTTTTCAGTTTCTAGTTTTGCATGCTAACAAAATTTAAAATATTCACTTTTTAATTGCTCTATTGCATTACTATTACCCTGGTTATTATAAAACACTCCAAAAATAATTGTATTTTCTATATTATCACTTAAGCTTGTTTTCTGTATTGCAATGAATTTCAGACTAAAACCAGTATCTTACTAAGGTTACACTCCATTTAAGTAACCCTTATTTCTGTTCTATGTGCCAATGTATATGCTGTGGTAGAAATCAACCTCCTTTTATTTATAGGAGCTACCAGGAGGCTATGGCCGTGTGAAACCCGATATTGTCACCTATGGTGCTGGAGTGAGGGGCTCCGGTATGAAAGGGGGCTGCCGGGCCCTTTCCGGGACTAGCGTGGCTTCTCCAGTGGTCGCCGGCGCTGTCACCTTGCTAGTAAGGTGAGTGTTGCCTAGCAAAGAGAAGGTGGTGCCAGCAGACCAGCTGAGACTTGCTTGTCAGCAACGTAGAATTTTAGAACATATCATGTGACCTTGCTCCATCTGTTTCTTCATCTCCACAAAGGAGGTCATGATTTATTCTTTGGGGAAGGATTCTTGTGAATTAGTGGACATACATAGGAACACTCTGTAAATGCTAAACCATAAAGCAATACATAAGGACATACTAGTAATACCTGTTACTGTTTTTATGTTTGAAGTCTGATTTTGTTTTTGTTTTTTTTGAAGACTTTTTTTTTTTTTTTTAAGAGCAGTTTTAGGTTCATGGCAAAATTGAGAGGAAAGTACAGTGTCCCCATTTTGTTTGCTTTTATACCATTTTTGTACTATATCTATACTTGTTACTAGGTGTGCCAGTTAATAATGCAGATCTTTTTTAATAGATGGAGTTACACATATGCTGATACATATGCAATTTGATAGGTATGCTATTTTATTATATTAAAAACAAGCTTCAAAACTTCATATGTCAAATTTGCTGAAGGTGTTAACATCATAGATATTTTTATGCTTAAAAATGCCACACAAAAAAAGCATTTGTGGTAAGTTTTAATTCATTATTTTGAAGAAGTTATTGTGTACTTTGGGAAGCTTATGGTGAACATGCTACATCTGAAGATACTTGTGAATGCTAGTTAAACCCTTTAAAAGTGATTTTTTCAATGTGAAAGACAAAAACCGTCCAGGTCAACCAAAAAAGTTTGAAGACCAACAATTACAAGTATTATTGGATGAAGATGCGTGTCAACTCATAAAACAACTGCAGAAAGATCATTTACAAGCAATGGGAAAGATTTTAAAGGAAGAAAAATGGGTACCACAGCAACTAAACAAAAGTCAATTGGAAAACCGAAAAGTCATCAATAAAATGTTGCTTCAGTGGCATAAAAGAAAGTCTTTTTTGCATCGAATTGTGACTGACAATGAAAAATGGATTTATTTTGAGAATCCCAAATGAACAAAATCATGGGTTGATCCAGGTCAACCATCAACATCGACTGCAAGGCCAAATCACTTCAGAAAGAAGACAATGCTTTGCGTTCAGTGGGATCAGGAAAGTACTATGGTGTTATTATGAGCTTCTAAAACCAGGTGAAACCGTTAATACTGATCACTGCTGACAACAAATAATCAATTTGCACCACACTTTAAATGTGAAACGACCAAAATGTGCCAGAAGACATGGCAAAATAATTTTGCTTCATGATAACGCACCATCACACACTTCAAAACCAGTTAAAGACACATTAAAAGATCTTGCCTGGGAAGTATTAACCCACCCACTGTATTCACCAGACCTTGTTCCTTCAGATTACCACTTGCTCCGATCGATGGCACACGCACTTTCTGAACAGCACTTCAAAATGTATGAAGAAGTGAAAAATTGGATCTCTGAATGGTATGCCTCAAAACAAAAAAAGTTCTATTGGGATAGTGTCCACAAATTACCTAAAGATGGGGGAAATGTGTAGCTAGTGATGGACATTATTTTGAATAAAGCACTTTTGATGTTTTTCTTGAAATTATTGTGTTTTCTTTGATTACAAAATCCGCATTATTAATTGGTACACCTATATCCAAATAAGTGTGTATATCAGGCAGGAATCAAAAAGTGAGGTATTTCCATGCCATATTCTTCATTTCCTGGGGGATTCACTTTTTAATGTTCTCTGTTAGCTAAGGAGCTGTCAAACCAGGCAGTGGGACTGGCAGTCACCACTCCTTTGGGAGAGACAAGATTCTCTGTGTAATTGACTTATGCTCTTTGTCTTGTTGAATCTCATCTATGGTTGAATGGAGCTTAATGATCGACCCCTTTTTTTTGTAGTTAATAAAACTGAAAGTTCTCAAAGGTAGTTGACTAGAATTGATGCTCACGTGCTCTAACTTAATCGGATATGCTTACTTTCAAAATTATAAGAAGATGTCTTAGGAGCTAAGACTTATTTTGTATTTTACCTTCCCGCCTTCACACCCACCCCCCTAAAATTTTTTTCTATGTAGGTGAGGCATTAGTTGAGCTTTTGTGTTGTAATAACACAAACTCTGCAGTTTTCAAAGTTATACTCTGTTAATTTTAAAATTAAAACAGGCAAAGGATACTAAATGTTTTTGTATTTAGAATTCTCTTTAAAAACAAGTAAATTTATGTTGATTTTAGCTTCTAATGCCAGAGATTTGTTTTATTAATAATCCTTTGTATAAAGTAGGTCTTTATCTCTTTCTTCCTTTTCCCATCCTTCCCTTATAATTCAGAGCCAAATTCTTGAGATTGTTGACATTGGTGAGAGTAGTCTTGGAAAATAACCACATGCCTGTTGGAAACATTCTCTTTTAGTTGTTTTTCTCACCCTCGTGTTACATACAGTGAAAGAAGAGGGAAGGGCGCGTCAACTGTGGATTTACCTGGCTCCCTACGCTTCTGGATTCGCTAGCGAGGGCTCTTGTTTCCACTCTTGTTGATTATGAAACAAAAAGTACTAGTGTACGGCTCCCTCTTGCTATGATGGTTAACGGGAACGTGGTTCTGGGCTCCTCTGTTCAGTCTGTTAAATCCCCCTCCTGTGAAATGAGTGGGGAGATGAGGAGGATGTGTTTTTCATTTCCAGTGGCATCTCTAAGTTTTCAGCATCAGGGAAAGCTTTCACTTCCCTCATCTCCCTGCAGCAGATGAAAATGCCACTGTGACAGTTCAGAAATATTTTTATGGGCTGACTAATAGCGCAGAACAGATACTGAGCAACAAGGAAGCGCTTCCTCAGCTTCCGGCCTCCTGGCGCTCCGGTCTCCCTGGTGCTCCGTAAAGAATGAGAGCCTAACCTTTGGTCTGGCTCTATCAGCAGGAAGAGGGGAAGAGTGTTGACCTATAGCTGAGCTTTTAGTAGTTCTTTTATTGTTGAGAATCGGTCCTATTTTATGCCCTCTTTTCATTATGTCAGATTTCCTCTCTAAACCTGTTAGGAAAACCTGCCCACACTCCAAGACCAACCGCCATATAAAAAGATTTAGGAACCTAGAGTATGTTTTTCTTTTTTTCTTTAAATAATTTTTTTATATTTTTATTGATTTTGTACAGAGAGGAAGAGAGAGAGATAGAGAGCTAGAAACATCAATGAGAGAGAGTCATCGATCAGCTGCCTCTTGCACACCCTCCACTGGGGATATGCCCGCAACCAATGTACATGTCCTTGACCGGAACTGAACCCAGGACCCTTCAGTCCGCAGGCCGATGCTCTATCCACTGAGCCAAACCGGTTTTGGCCGTTTTTCTTTTTTGCTTACCTACATTAGAAGTTCAAACTCACTTGTGTTTATAATACATAGGTACACAACAATGAATGTCTTAGTGCCAGCATTCTTAAGTTTCTAGCCAAATAGAGCTGAGTTTCAGTATGTCCAGATGCATCCTGATGATGAAACTCTCAAGGTGGCCTTCGGTCTGCATGTTCCTCTCAGGTTTATCCATCAGAGTGATGCGTCACATAGTGGCTTCCAAAACAAAATAGGCAGGGTTTTGCTGTGGAAGCAGTGGGCTTCACTTAGATCCTGTCCTTCTTGCCCATCTGCATTAACTTCCCTTCCTAAGACCTGTATGTTTTCCTTACCTTTTCCCAGACTGTCCTCTTCCTCCTGGCTTCACTTGAAGAGCCACTACCCCTTACCTAGTCTTGCCTCCTATAATTTGTAAGGTCGACTTAGGAAAAATACGTTTTTCTGATCTATTTAGTATAAACAGGTACTAGCCCCATGAGTCACTGCTCTCACAAGCCATGTAGAAGGCTGATAACTGGTCACTCCCAAGTCTGGTGCAGAAATGATCACACAGCATCCTCCTCTTAGCATGGGCCCTACCAAAGAAATGTTCATTATAGACAGAACAAGATGGGAGGTCACATTTGCACATTTGCAAATGAGGAGTAATCAGATTTTCACTCTTTTATGAGAAAATGATCAAATACATGATTTTTCTCCTCAGCACAGTCCAGAAACGTGAACTGGTGAATCCAGCCAGTATGAAGCAGGCCCTGATTGCATCAGCCCGGAGACTTCCTGGGGTCAATATGTTTGAGCAAGGCCATGGCAAGCTGGATCTCCTCAGAGCCTATCAAATCCTCAACAGTTACAAACCACAGGCAAGGTCAGTATGTTTAATTTTGAATAGGCCCTTCTCCTCGCTGGGTCCTGAGGGTGCTTTTCCCTTTACACTAAATATTAGCCTCCAAACCAGAACCACATACAACACTCGGAGCCCATGGAGAGCTTCACTCTGCCGCTTCTACTCGGCGTCAGCTGGCAAAACTTGAACTGCTGTCCACTTCCTGATGTTCTGTTTTACTTATTCATTTATTGTGTGTGTGTGTGTGTGTGTGTGTGTGTGTGTGTGTGTGTGTACACACATACATACATATATATATGTATATGTGTACATACACACACACACACACACACATATATATATATATATATATATATATATATATATATATATATATATATTGAGTAGCCAGATTTTTATGATCTCTGAACTCATAATAATCTGACTACTCAGTGTATTCCTATGTAATAAAAGGCTAATATGCAAATTGTCCCCTCAACCAGGAGTTAGACCAGCAGGCAGGCCAGCCAACTGCCCATGACCCCTTCCCCTGCCCAGGCTGGCCGGACCCCACCCATGCACGAATTCATGCACTGGGCCTCTAAAATATATACACACACATACACACTGAGTGGCCAGATTGTTATACGTTCAGAGATCATAATAATCTGGCTACTCATTGTATTTGTTGTATGAAGATTTTTTTTTAGCAATGAGAAAGGGAGGGAGGGAGAGAGAGGAACATTGAAGAAATATTGATTTTTTTACAGAGAGGAAGGGAGAGGGAGAGAGAGAGTTAGAAACATTGATGAGAGAGAAACATCGATCAGGTGCCTCCTGCACCTCCCCACCCCCGACTGGGGATGTGCCCACAACCAAGATACATGCCCTTGACCAGAATCGAACCTGGGACCTTTCAGTCCGCAGGCCAACTCTCTATCCACTAAGCCAAACCTGTTTCGGCATGGCCTTGTTTCTTAACATACTTCGCTCACTAATTTTAACATCCATTGATGGTTCTTGCCTGCAATGATTATTATGAGATTGCCTCATGGTGACTTTATTTTTTTCATTCATTAAATGGAATTCTGCTGTAAGGAAGACCTATCTCTTCTTTTCCATTTATTTATTTATTCAATTATTTATATTAGTATGGAAACACAGGCATTTATTTGACTCTGTGGGTTACAATCCAGTATCATTGTAAATTTTCTTGTTTAAATTGTCCCAGATTTGGCTATTGGGAACATCTATTTGGCTCCTGTATCTTTTTCCATGTCTCCATCATTTTTTTTTTTAGCACTTTTTTTCTTTCTTCTTTTTTACTTTTTGGCAGCATAGCATTTCCATATCCAGCCTCAGTCTCAGTTCTTTCTCCAAGCAGCCTGGGTCCTTTCATCGAAGAGTGGTATTTAGAAGCCGAAACCTGGGCACTAGATGTGCTCCTCACAGCTGTGCTCATGGTTATCTCTAGGCCTTTCCAGCAAAGATAAGAACTGTCTGTATGTACTCACACATCTGTACCTGTTTCTTGATAAATCTATCTGTGGATATACTAAAACATGAGTTCATCTTTCTCCTGGTCCCAGCCAGCACCACAGTTCTCAGTTTAGTCTCCTCTCCTGATTTGTAAGTTCTCTGCAACAGCAAGAAACGTGGCTCTCATTACCCATGTTTACTTACTGGCTCAGTCCTAGTATTTTCCCTTGCAAAAAAAAGACAAATTTATTAACCAGAGTACAGTACTTATGTATAGTTGTTTGTTGTTTTTTTGTTTTTGTTTTTTTTTTATCTAGCATTACAGAATATAGTCATATTATTTTCCAAAGTTAGGTTAATTTTGCTTTTCAGTTTTAATACAGTTGAGTTCATCTGTTAGTGTTCATATCTCTTTTTGGATCCCCCCCACTTCCTGATAGATTTAAACTATTTATGGATTTAGTATGTGAAGTATTACCATGGTTCTAAAGTCAGAACTGCACACAAATGTCACTTTCCTTCATAACCTCTGTCCCATTTTCTCCACGTTGTCCCCACGCATCCCTGTGGGTAACAGTCTCAGTTGTTGGTTTGTCTTGTATTTCTCTTTGCACAAATGAGCAAATACATATATGCAGGGGTGGGGAAAAGTAGGTTTACAGTTGTCCTTATAGAAAGTAGTACAATAATAAATAATGTAGGAATACACTGTTTGCACATTCACAACTATAAACCTACTTTTGCCCATCCTTTCTTACAGGAAGGAGAGCATTACTACAAATATTTTTGCACTTTGTTTTTGTTACTTAACAGCACCTGGAAATCGCTCTGTATTTATAGAGATTGTCTTTTTACAGCTGCAAAGTGTGGATGTGTCATTGTTTTTTCACCCACTTATGTATATTTGGGCATTTACATTGTTCCCAATATTTTGCAGCTGTAAATAATTGCTTTAAATAACCTTGTGTCTAGTATTTTAGCTTTGCTGAGGGTTGTGTTTTCAGAGAAAATGCCTACAAGTGAGATTGCTGGGTCAAGGAGCTTTGTGAGGTGTCCCTCCATTCCCCTCCAGAAGGCTGTGTCTGTGTGTATTGACAGCGAGGCCTCGGAGCCTGTTTCCCCGGAGCCTCACCAGCACAGTGTTGTGTCCTGCTGGTTACTTTACCTGATCAGGGAGAAATGGTCTCTCAATATTGTTGTAATTTCCATGTCTTCTCTAATTATGAGTGAATTTGAACCCTTTCGTTTATGGTTAAAAGCCATATTTACACTTTTCTTGTTAAGTGTGTGTTCACTTTTCCTCTTTTTTTTCTCGTGGGGTTGTGTCCCTCAGTTGTTAAGGGGTTTTTATACATGAAGGTTAGTAATAGTAACCATTTGTTGGTGATACATATTTGCAGATGTTTTACAGTTTGTTGGTTGTCTTTTGATTTTGTGTGAAGTGTTTTGCCAGGCAGTTTTTTTGTGTGTTTTTTTAATAGCCAACTTTATTAGTGTGTTGTTGTTTTTGAGTCACAGAAAGCATTTTCTGCACTGGGGTGAAAGAGAATTTACCCAGGTTTTCTTTTAATACTTGTTTGCTTTTATTTATTTGGAACTCCCTGATCCATTGTGTGTGGTGTAATCAATCCATTGGTGTTTATTCTTGTGTATGGTTTGAAGGATGAATTTAATTTTATCTTTTGCCAAGTGACCACCCATTTGTCACAGCGGCATTTATTTAAAAGTTCGTCTTTGCCCCAGTGCTTTGAGACTCTTGAGCCCAACACATTCACCGGGGCTGCCAGCCACAGCCACTGTCACTGAAGTTCTAGACTTGCGGAAAGAAGAAAGTGTTCTGCTCCATCCGTTGTTTGTGCAGACAGTCTGGGCAAGGTGGCCCAGAGGCCTGCTCAGCACAGGGAGCATTTCAAAGCCAAGTTCCCGGATGCCTGCTGTGGCCCTTCTAAGGGCCTTGTCGCCTCTTCCTACATTTGAAGCTTCAGTGCTATTTCCTAACATGCCCTACTCTAACACCATGTTCTTCGTTTCAGTTTGAGCCCCAGCTACATAGATCTGACTGAGTGTCCCTACATGTGGCCCTACTGCTCCCAGCCCATCTACTATGGAGGAATGCCGACCATCGTCAATGTCACCATCCTCAACGGCATGGGTGTCACAGGAAGAATTGTAGATAAGGTGAAATTGCTCTCTGCCTTGTAGTGAACTTGGACCTGGCCCAGACCTTTGTGCCTTAACATTTTTCTCCTGAAAATAAAACAGGAAAGGTTCTCGTCGAGTGGCAGGGTATTGGAAGCAGTAATTTATTTTCCCCTAAGTCTTTATACACAAGTCAGGGATAAATTAGTAAAACCCATTTGTTATTTTTTTACTTTGGCATCCTGATTTTAGCTTCTAAATCAACTAATTATATATGATCCTTTATCTTTATTATTTCCCACCTATAATTAAAGGCTCACTTGTGAGAATAAGCACAAATGGGTCTTAAGGTCTAGAAAGTATGGTTGTTTTTGAATTTTGTTTATCATTTTATTATACTTACTGCATAAACATATCTCAACAGTAAAGGATAGGGAAAGAGAACAGATAAATAACTTTCAGCCCAGCACAGTAACATAGGCATTTAAAATTTTTTTTTTTTTTTTTGCATACTAGCTGGTTTGTTTTTCAATTACTGTTTATATTCAGTATTATTTTGTATTAGTTTCAGGTGCACAGCATAGTGGTCATAGCCACTATTTTTTTTTAATACTCTTTTCCAGCTCTTACCTGAAATACATATTTTTTGTTATCATTGTGCACTAGGCAAAAATTTAATTCTTTTTTCTGTTTTAATTATGTTGAAAATACTAAAAATGTATATAAATACCCATATACTTTATAGTGGTTATTTAATATTACATAGAACTATGAAGTCATAATTTGCTTATTATTTCCCCCTGCATGAACAAAAAATAGGTGGTTTTCCAATATAAGCATTTCACTGAATATCTTTGTATATGTGATTTCCCTTTCTTCTGAATTATTTCCTTAATGTAAACTCCCTGGGTTGGAATCCAGAGGGCATGGACATTATTATGACTCTTGGTACATACTATCAAATTCTTTCCAAGAGGAGATATATCATTTCAGACTGTAGAGGATGCTGTCTCCACCATGTCTGTGCTGGGTGGTACTTTTTCTTTTTTTAATTCCATGAGATTTTTTAAAAAATGGAAAAAAAATTTGCATAGTATAAAATTCACCCTTTTAAAGTGCATTTTTTCGTGTATTCACAAGTAGTAATGCAATTATCACTACTATATAATTCTAGAACATTTCATCACCCCCCAAAAAAAACTCTATTTGCAGTCACTTCCCATTCTCCTTGCCCTTGGCCCCTGGCAACCACTAATACCCTTCCTGTCTCGTTGGGTTTACTATTTTAGATGGTTTATTAGTTTATCTAAATGGCATCCGACAGTTTGTGGTTTCTTGTGACTGGCCTTTCACCTGGCAGGATGTCTTTAAGGTTCATTGGTGTGGCAGCATGTACCAACGCGCCACTCCTTCGTGTGGCTGAATAACAGTCCATTGTGTGGATGGATCTCAGTTTGATTTATGGATATTTGATTTGGTTCTATGTGGTTCATCTTTTAACTTTAAATTTATGAGGTCAATAACTCCAGGTAATAAACCTGGAAAATGCTAATTCTACTTTTTCTTGTGTGAATTAGCTTTTTATTGCCTTGGCCCATTTTTGTATTGGAATTTAGGTTTTCCCTGTCTATCCAAGACTTTCATATCATAGAGAAATTAACCACTGTTGTATTTTATGCAAAAAGTTATACAAATTATTGTTTACTTTTCTTTTTAATGTGAGTGGTGGTTTTATTTTAGGTTGGAAGTTCTGTAAATGTTTTACATTCTTTCAGTTGAATTTTGATCTTTTGTTTCAAACATTAGAAACATGTTTCCACAGATATAATTAAAAATTTCAACTTTGTTTTCTACTGACTTTTATGCTTGTTACACATGTAGCTTTTAAATCTGTGTTAATTTGATATGTGATATAAGAGATAGATGAAAATTAACTTTTTTCTCAATTGCTAACCAGTCATCTCAAGAGCATTTATTAAAAATTCCTTTCCTTCCTCATGATTTGCATGCTGTACCCTATAAATATTTTTCTTCTTTTTCAGATTTTTTTTAATATGCTGACTCATTTGGGGAGTATTGTTACTATCTGGCTTGTGAGGGAAATGAGTAATTGTGGTTAGTTTGAAATATTGGTTATTGAAATTTTGAAATATTAGAATGTTAAAGCTCATTTATGTTTCTTCCAGATGGTCTCTTTTGTTTCCCTTTTCACTTTCCTCATACCTGGAAGAAACTAAAGGGGCAGGCATTCTGGCAGCAAGCCAGCTCTTCCTCTGGGTGTTCCATAAGCTTCACCTCCCCAATCTTTGGCTTCAGAATTTGGGAACAGTTTGCATCCATGTCATTTTATTATTTGGCTCCTTTAAATTAATGTGATTTTTTTTTAAATATTTTTTTTATTGATTTTAGAGAGGAAGGGAGAGAGATAGAAACATCAGTGATGAGAGAGAATCATTGATTGGCTGCCTCCTGCCCATCCCCTACTGGGGATCGAGCCCGCAACCCAGGCATATGCCCTTGATCAGAATTGAACCCAGGAGCCTTCAGTCTGGAGGCTGACGCTCTATCTATGAGCTAAACCAACTAGGGCTAATATGATTCTTTAAGCATACAACTAATTGGATCTAACCTCCAACTTGAGAGGTTTTTTTTTTTTTTAAATATATTTTATTGATTTTTTTACAGAGTGGAGGAAAGAAGAATAGAGAGCTAGAAACGTCGATGAGAGAGAAACATCGACCAGCTGCCTCTTGCACACCCCCTACCGGGGATGTGCCCGCAATCCATGTACATGCCCTTGACCGGAATCGAACCTGGGACCCCTCAGTCCGCAGACCGATGCTCTACCACTGAGCCAAACCGGTTTCGGCCAACCTGAGAGTTTTAATTTATTTAAATTCACTACATCTGTACATCAACTTTTATGTGATTGATATATGTGTCCCTTATTTTTTTTTAAGGTTGGGGAAAAATTTATCTTTAAAGTTGGAGGCTGTCAAAAATAATGGATTCTGTACGTTTCTAGTGGGTGATGTTCTAAACATTCCATAGGCTACTTTGGTTATAGGTTGCTTAGTGTCTATATACAAATTTCATTTTGCCTTATTTAAAATATGAAGTATTTCTCAAAAACAGCTGTAGATAATTTAAGAATTGAGCATTTCACCTTAGCCTTGGCTTGTTTTTCTTCTGCAGCCTGACTGGCAGCCCTATTTGCCACAGAATGGAGACAACATCGAAGTAGCTTTCTCTTACTCCTCGGTGTTATGGCCTTGGTCAGGCTACCTGGCCATTTCCATTTCTGTCACCAAGAAAGCGGCTTCCTGGGAAGGCATTGCGCAGGGGCACGTCATGATTACGGTGGCTTCCCCAGCAGAAGTAGAAGTAAGTGCGTGCAGAGAGGGGCTGGTGTTTCTTAACCTTTCACCTCACCTGCAAGGAAGAGGGCGCAGGCTCAATGCCCATGGGCTCAGATTGGAAGCACAGTTGGTGTGATTAGGCTTGAAGACCATGATCAGTAATTCCAGGGCCTATAAAGCAGCTGCAGTTTATTGATTTTTTTTTTTTACAGAGAGGAAGGGAGAGGGATCGAGAGCTAGAAATATCGATGAGAGAGAAACATTGATCAGCTGCCTCCTGCACACTCCTCACTGGGGATGTGCCCGCAACCAAGGTACATGCTCTTGACCGGAATCGAACCTGGGACCCTTCAATCTGCAGGCCGACGCTCTATCCACTGAGCCAAACTGGTTTCTGCAGCAGCTGGAGTTTAAAAGCCAGCTCAGTAATGAGTGATGGTGCCTTCAGTCCTGTTGCTGAGCAACAGCAGATAGGACTATTTCATGCCACCTTTCAAGCTCAGAATAATTATAGAAAATATGTGTTCAATGAAAGGGAATGTGGGGTTAATCCTGTGTAGCTTCAGAAACAAGGTGGTTTAAATTTTAAGTCTCAAACTCAAGGTCTTGAAGGGAATTAATTGTGATACATGAAGGTTCCTTTCTACATTCGTTATTGGAAATTCTTGTATTCAAATTGTTAGGGTTAAAATGACAATTAGAATCGGCTTTTTAAATAAACCCCCAAACCTGAAAGTTTCTTCTGAGCAAAAGGGGCACTTCGAATTTCTTTTTTTTTTTTTTCCTTTTTTTCAGTCAAAAAATGGTGCAGAACAGACTTCAACAGTGAAGCTCCCAATTAAGGTGAAGATAATTCCTGCTCCTCCTCGAAGCAAGAGAGTTCTCTGGGACCAGTACCACAACCTCCGCTATCCGCCCGGCTACTTCCCCAGGGACAATCTGAGAATGAAGAATGACCCTTTGGACTGGTAAGCAGCCACCAGACACGACTCTCACTCCCCATCCCCACCCCCCTCCCACCGGCCTTCCACAGCAGGACTAGGGGTCACTGTCCCTGCAGGAAGCAGACGTTGCTCTTCACTGAACCTGAGTTCCTCGACCCTCAGACTGCAGGTCCTCATCACGGTCTTAGGGCGTCCTGTGAATCTCCCTACAGACTTGCACAACTGTGCAGCAAAAAACCTTGGACTCATCCTTAACTGCTCTCTTCCCCTCTGTTGAATCATTCAGCAAATCCTGTTAGTCCTCTTTCCAGACATGTCCTGACTCCTGCACTGTCTGGCCGCCACCTCTGCTCCTCCCACTTTTGGTCAGGCCATCATCTCTTGCCTGGACAGCATCTGTCACCTCCTGATGAATGGCTGCTACCATTTTTGCTCCCTTAAATCCCTTTGTCTGCTCAGCAGCCCTGTTCACCTAAAAACATAAATTCTATCATGGTTTGCTTAAAACTCCTGTGGCTGCCTATTCATACTTCTTCATATGCCAGACTTCCTGATGTGTCCTCGTCAGACCTCCAGGCCCTGCCACTCACAGCCCCTCCAGGACAGCTGGGCTGACCCTGAAAAGGGTGAGCAACAATGATTGAAAATTTGAGGAGAGCCGAGACCGGTTTGGCTCAATGGATAGAGCGTCAGCTTGGGGACTGAAGGGTCCCGGGTTCGATTCCGGTCAAGGGCATGTACCTTGGTTGCGGGCATATCCCCAGTAGGGGGTATGCAAGAGGCAGCTGATCGATGACTCTCTCTCATCGATGTTTCTAACTCTCTATCTCTCTCCCTTACCCTCTGTACAAAATCAATAAAATATATTTAAAAAAAAAAAAAAAAAAAGAAAATTTGAGGAGGACACTTATAAGGTGTCAGAGCATAACCAGAGCCCTGCACGAGTTCCAAGTGACTTTGAGTTCTTCTGAGTCCATGTATTCTTCTAAATTCTTCCCAACTACACCAGGCTGGTTCTTTCTTGAACCCTGATCACTGTACTAACTGTTGGGAACTTAGTTCAAGTTCCTTCTTTACCTCTGCTTGCCAAGTGTCAGAGACACAGGTCAATTCCCAGTGGCGGGGCAGACAGAGAAACCATGAGAAGTTGTGGGTGTATAAGAACGAGTCTTTATTGCAGAAGCCTTTGGCCACATAGCCATCAGACAAGATAATCCTCCTAGCAAAGTCTATGCAGAACGCAGCTGGACACCGGCTGGTTAATACATATATTTTCTATAAAGTAGCATCAGTCTCTGTACCCATAGCTAGTATCTGAGCAGCTGCATGATGCCCTAGGCTCATAGCCTTGTGTCGTAGCGGTACCTAAGCTCTCTGGACCAGCTTCTCCTGTCTCCCCTGCCCAGCTGCTCTCTGTAGCAGACTTCTTCACATACTCCAGCTGACTAGCTGGTCAATACCTATTTAGACAAAGAAGGTTTCATGCCAATAGTTATATCAATCATATAGCTACTGAAGGGCACAGTGTACCGTGTGTCCTTGCACCCATTCATCATATCTTGGTCTGATTAGGATTCTCAGGCTCAGAGTCCTTGAACATTCCATTTAGGCGGATGGCCAGAGTGGCCTTTGGCCATTCTGGTGTATTGATAACAGGTCTCTGTGCTCCATGGGCCTGACTATCCGGGGACCTGGCATGGTTCCCACATAAAGTCAGTGCTGCTCTTTATAAAAATGTCTCTGGAAGGTGGATTAGAGGGGCTCAGACCAGAGACAAGTAGACAAGGAATGAGGAGAAATTGATAGACCAGGGCAATGGCCATGGGCCTGGAGAGGAACGCCTGGGTTCCGCCCTGCTGAGGAGGCAGACCCCGTCAGGCTGTGAGGTGGGGAATGGGAGGTAGAATGACCCTGGGTGTTGTGGGGGTCATTTGGGTAGGCGGCTGACGGAGTACACAGTAGGGAAATGAGCACATTGAGAAGGATGAAGGATGGAAAGGTAAGCACTAATAGTGATGTAAAATTAACTGTTTGTCACTGTCTTAGTTCATTTGCTCTGTGTGGCATGACTCAACATGTCTGCGTTCCCATGCCAAATTTGTCAAATGCTGGTGGTTGCTGACCATACACATATGCCACCACTAAAGTGATGCCTCGGTGCATTTCTTCTTTTTAAATATATTTTTATTGATTTCAGAGAGGAAGGGAGAGGGAAGAGAGAGTTAGGAACATCAATGATGAGAGAGAAACATCATTGATTGGCTGCCTCCTGCACATCCCCCACAGGGGATCAAGCTGCAACCTGGGCATGAGCCCTGACTGGGAATCAAACTAGCAGCCTCTAGGTTCCTGGGTTGAGGCTCAACCTCTGAGCTACACCAGCTGGGCAGTGCATTTCTTTTTCTTGTTTTATCCCTTCATGCCTGTGCCTTGAACACGATTTCCTATTACTTCTGCTGGGGATGGAGCTGTGCTCCTGCAGAGGCGACAGGTTCAGGAATTAACCTGTGACTACCTTTATGACAAGGAGAGATTGATCATTTTAGTGCTGGGGCTTGCTGTTTTTCAGGAATGGCGACCACATCCACACCAATTTCAGGGACATGTACCAACACTTGAGAAGCATGGGCTACTTTGTCGAAGTCCTCGGCTCCCCCTTCACGTGCTTTGACGCTAACCAATATGGTGAGCAACAACGCGGTGCTATCCAGATGTTCTTTCCTCTCTGTGGGGTGTTGGTGAAACGTTTGAAAAGTAAATTACGGTTTAAATGAGAGGCCAGAAAAGGGAACATGTATGGAGTCTCCTGATCCCAGTGGAAGCACCAAGCAGAGCCATGCACGTTCCTACTTAGGGGTTATGGTGGTCATGTTCAGCTAAAATGTGATACTGTCAGAATGTACTTTTATTATCTTATTTATTTTTTAATTAAAAGAAGCTCTAGCACTGTATTTGGCTTCTTCTGCAGTAAGGGAAATATCTTTGTGTTGGACATCACAGATAAAACAGAGCCCACTGCTAGCTGGTGTCCATGCACTGCAGGCTCCAATCCTTTCTTTTTCACCCTCTTCTAACGTGGATCGGGAGCTATAAACTAAAATGTTAGAAGCTAGTAACTGCGGCATGGATGCCAGTAAATCACTGTGTCTGAAACAGTGACGTCCTGTCGTCCAGAGGTGAAATTTCTCAGAGCGTGGCATCTTGTCCCTCAGGAACTTTGCTCATGGTGGACAGTGAAGAGGAGTACTTCCCCGAGGAGGTTGCCAAGCTGCGGCGGGACGTAGACAACGGCCTTTCCATCATTGTCTTCAGTGATTGGTACAACACGTCTGTTATGAGAAAAGTCAAGTTTTACGATGAAAACACGAGGTACTGATATGAGTTGGTATTTGGATAAGAAATTTCACTTTTGGGGAATTAAGTTCTACCTAGCAAATACGTCAAGTGCCTTTTGGCCCATTGGTGGTCTTTTCAGATGTCAGAGGCAGGTTCTGACACTTGGTTAGAGGAAGGTTTCTCTTCATATAGTAGCGATTGATTTCAGATACTAATTTAAAGGCTTTGTCATTCTTTGTTGATCGTAGATATTTGAGCTTTAAATTTCTGTTTAGTTCTTTTCCATTCTTCTATTGCTCTGTTACTGAATCTGTATGAATTTAAATGCACCAAACCACCTGTTATTTAAAAAAAACAGATTCCCAAAGTATTGTGAATATTTCACTCCTGTAATAAAATTTAAATTTTTTCTTCACTCTGTGATGAACTTTATAAGCTTGTTATCTCTTTTATTTATTTTAATATATTTTATTGATTATTTTTACAGAGAGGAAGGGAGAGGGATAGAGAGTTAGGAACATTGAAGAGAGAAAAACATTGATCAGCTGCCTCCTGCACACCCCCTACTGGGGATCTGCCCGCAACCAATGTGCATGCCCTTGACTGGAATCAAACTTGGGACCTTTCAGTCCGCAGGCCGATGCTCTATCTACTGAGCCAAACCGATCATCTCTTGTCATCTCTTTTCCTTCACAGACCCCTCGAGGTCTGGTTTTTACATGCAGTGCCTTTATGTCATGTGGACTGCATTTTATGAAATAAATTTCCTTTGCACACTGGCTGAAGCATTTATGTTATAGTATTGCTCACACCCAGGCAAAGTTTCAGCTGCAACCGTAGTGTGGCTGGGCTGGATCTGGCAAGTTCAGTTTTGTTGTGAGGAGAATAAGTGTATACACAGTGTTTCAGTTCCTTCCTTCTTGGCGCCTCCTTGTCACTTTCACAGGCAGTGGTGGATGCCGGACACCGGGGGAGCCAATATCCCAGCGCTGAATGAACTCCTGTCTGTCTGGAACATGGGGTTCAGCGATGGCCTGTACGAAGGGGATTTTACCCTGGCGAGCCATGACAGTAAGGTTCTGTGTTTGTGTTTGCATAGGGCACATTGCTCTCCTAGAATTGTTTCAGAGGGAGGTGGTGTAGTTCCTGAAGCAGGGATGCTCTGTGAAGGGAATGCTTCATTGTCTTCCCAGAGGGCATCTGGAGAGCAGTGTTAGCTACTCTAGTTCTGCCCAAATGTTCAAAATGAAATATTTTATGCAAGCACTTCTAGTTTTAGTGCCACCTGTAAGGTGCTCTATATCCTATATTTTCCCAAATAGGGAATACCTCATAGGTTCCTGTTTATGACATAACTTTGCAAATCTCATGTAAGACATTTCCCCATAGATTAGTTTTGGGAGCTAGTTTCTAGAACACTCTCTCTCTCTCTCTCTCTCTCTCTCTCTCTCTCTATATATATATATATATATATATATATATATATATATATAAAAGCTTTTTCTTAGAGAGAGGAAGGCAGAAGGAGAAATAGAAACATCAATGCTGAGAGAGAATCATTGATCGGCTGCCTCCCGCATGCACCCCATTGGGGATCAAGCCCACACCCTAGGCATATATATGCCCTGACCACGAATCAAACCTTGACCTCCTGGCTCATGGGTTAATGCTCAACCACTGAGCACACCAGCTGGACTAGAACAATATGTTGAGCACTATGGTTACTGATTCTGCTCATCCTGTTTTAGTTGTTTCAAGTCTATGACAACTCTGACTTCTGAGATCAGTTCAGAAACTTTATATTAATAGTTTGTTTTTTCAGTTCAATTTTAAGGTCATTCCTTTTAGTTTAAGTATCACCAGGCAATGATAGCAGTTCTCCTAAGATTAACAACAAGTTTAGAAAACATATATTGCCTAAAGAATGCGTTTTAGGTTAGTGAACAGCTGTTAATAAAATGTTCCATGTTTCTGTGTTCTGATAACTTTGAATAACTGTTTTCTAGTGTATTATGCATCAGGGTGCAGCATTGCTAAATTTCCAGAAGATGGCATAGTGATAACACACACTTTTAAAGACCAAGGTAAGGAATGCTGTTCACAAGCTCTTTGGTTTCCTTCTTTCTCTTTTTTATTTTAATTAACAGTTTTATTGCATATAACTTACCCTTTTAAAGTGTGCAATTCAGTGATTTTTAGTGTATTAACACAGTTGTGCATTCATCACCATTACCTACTTCCAGAATATTTTCATCACCCCAGAAAGAAATCCCCATACTCATTAGCAATTTTGTTTCTATAATTTATTATTTTGTGTGGTACCTACTTTAAGCAAGACTTCTGGGTAGGGGTTCTGGGAGATGCAAAGATGTAATAAGACAGCCTCTTGCTGATAATTTGAATATATGTGTATACTGACCACTACAAAAAAATTGAATTTCCCATAGGAGAGGGGCTGTTGAAAATTTGTAGATATTCTTTAAAACTACTTTTAAAGTTGCTTAAAATTTGTGTTACTATTTATAAAGCATTCTGTTTCCATGATTGCCCCATTACTGAAATTTAGAAAAATGTTGACCATGTTTTGATGTTTTTAACTGTATGAAGGTAAAGAATATTAATTACAGGGTCTTACAATTCCCTTAAGAATTTGAAGAGAAAAATAGTCTTCTTTTTTTGTTTTCTTTCTTTTATATTTTCCTGAACCCAGAAAAAGATAATGCTCATGTATATTATTAGCTACATTGTGCCAGGCCCTATTTTACATGTTTTATTTTTTTTGCAACAACTCGTATGCGCTTTCATTAAAACACCCTTTTCAGGCGAGAACAGGCAGTGTAAATGCATCTAAGGCCACAGTGAGAGTTAAGTGGCCGAGACTCAGGATCTGAACACATTCTGGCTCCTGAGAATACATGATTCACGGTAACTGCCCTCTGAAATAATTTCAGTATTACCATACTAGACCCCCACCCAGTTTTCTGAAAGCTAATTATGACCCATTTAGTCTTCTCATAGCATCCAGTTTTATGTGCAGAGTGACATATATCCATGTCTACATGTTCTCTCTCAATGGAGATGTGCCAGAACTACCTATTTACTGTTATCTAGAATTTACTAGAATAATCACAACATCTCCACAAACTTTAAAACTACATCCCCTACTAAGTCTAAGTCTCAGTTAATTTAATAATCTACTTAGGAGGCCGGGGGAAGGTCCAATGGGGGGGGGGGGGGGGAGACATATATACTATTTATAATATTTTAAACAATAAAAAAATGGGAAAAAAGTGCTTTTGCTCTAGGTAATCCACAATTAAAGCAAAGCAAATAGATATATTAACAAAAAAGTAATAATCTACTTATTATGATACCAATGTTTCTGATCTTTTCCCCTCCAAGTCCTAGGAATTATAATTTTACGTGCCTCAGGCATAAAACAGCTCTGGCCACCAACACATACATCAAGCAAGGATGAACGAAGGCCTGTACATCTGCTTTGCCCCTGATTGATATAAGAGCAACACCACCAGTCAGGTGTCTCCTTGCCCATTGCCAGGGGAGTTCAGTTTTGTTTAATTGTAGCCAGGCATCACCAAAGAAGGCAAATGCTGCAGTTCCCTCACTTTAGGATCTGAAACACTGTGTTAGTGCCCTGAGCATACCGGGGGAGCAGAGAGGGGCCAGAGCAACCTGGACTGCCTTTATCTTCCCAAAGGCAGGAAGCCATCTACTTTCCCTGGTGTCCGGCAGTCCTCCTGCAGCCCCGCACTCCAGTCTCTCTCACCTCGGCCAAGAGTTTGAGACTATTCTGAGCCCCACAGGACAGGCTTATGGAAATTTATAGGAAGGATTCATTTTCTCATGCGAGTTGATATTTTTTTAAATTCCAGAATGGAAAGCCCCTTTATTGTAAAGTTGGCCATTTTCTGTAATTGGAAGTTAAAAACAATTTTATTAGTTGAAAATGATGAGAAGGCAGGAAGTATTTCTCACTCATCTTATTTGCAATTGCAAGGTAAAATTTATTTTTTATTACCAAAGGGCTTTTTCCCTTCATCCAGGCAAGATCAATCAATAGGTCTGTGTTCATAGGGTTATATTTTAACTTTAAGCTCATAAATAATCATGTCTCCCAGTCACTTGGCACAGTTTACCATGGGTTAGTGATTCTTTCTGAAATCAGCTTCTCACAGGGCAGTGTCATTTCTGGTAGGGGTCAAACAGGGATGACGGTAGTGGTCTTGTGGCCAGCTGCTAGTGCCTTGTTTTGTTGGGAGAGGAATCAAAAGTAGATTTAAAGGTTTGTACTTCATTTTGGGGTTCTGGTGACCTGAAAATAAAAATTGCCTTGAAATCTTTTTTAAGGGGATTTTTATCTTCACACAGGCTTTAAGTTGAATAATCTTTTGGACCCAAAAGGAATTTGAAAATCTGGGTTATGCTGGATCACAAAGGATCTTATTGTGAGAAACAAAACTGAGTGAAACCCAGAGGCCACACAATGTACACCCCCCGACTCATCTGTTGTACTGTGCTGTCTCCCTCTCCCCCAAGAACACCTTGCTGTCTCCCACTCAGTTCCTAGTGGGATTACACACAGGGAGCAGGAAATGCTGCGCTTTTGTAGCCACAGACATTTTCGATGTTACCAGCATGGTAAATACTGGCTTTTGAGGAAGATGTGCGTCATCTAGTGCCAGGGAACGTGTTTGCTTCTGGGCTAAAGATTCCTAGATTATGCAGTGATGTCACTGGCAGTTGCTGCCCATGGCATTTTATGCATTTTTTGCTTTTTGATTCATTAAACATTGTAAATTGTGCCATCTGTTTGGGCAGAGATAAGAAGGCTCAGCTCTGATACATTTGTATTTATGGATTAATATAACAAATATCTTAAATCTAAATTTAAAATATTGTGGGCATATATTTTTTAATTAGCTATGTTTGTCCTAGCTTTCAATAGTAAGACATGAAACTGGATATCAGTATCTGACAATGTCTGTAGATGTATCTATAACTGCCTGGCCAGCTGCCCCGAGTGGATGTGGTCCAAGGACAAAAGTATTTCAGCAGGATAAGACAGGACAAAAGTTTGTGCTTTTAATATAATAAAAAGGTAAAAGTGAAACCTTGCAAATTGTAAATACTATTACCACCATTTCAAGTGAAAATGAAAGAGGATGAATATGGATAATATAGGGTGTCCCCAAAAATGTATACACACTTTGAATAATTAGTTCCATTGTTTCTTTTCAGATTTAACTCATTGGAATTAATAATTGTTCAAAATGTGTATACATTTTTGGGAACATCTGCAAATATACACATATAAGTGGATTTTGCTAAAACCCAAATTAGTGGTACTTGAATCCTTGTTTTTCTATGCTGAAAGTTTGCACTGCAGTGATTGAAGAGTGGGTTTTGCTCTGATTTCTTTGTCACATGTTAAGTGGCAACTGGAAAATAATTTATTCCTCAATAAGTTTTTTTCATTGCTGTTTTTGTTGTGTTGTTTCAGGATTGGAGGTTTTAAAGCAGGAAACAGCAGTTGTTGAAAATGTCCCCATTTTGGGGCTTTATCAGATTCCAGTTGAGGGTGGAGGCCGGATTGTCTTGTATGGAGACTCCAATTGCTTAGATGACAGTCACCGACAAAAGGGTGAGAATTGGTGGTGTGGCTGAAAAATAGATTGTGTTTCATGATTTTGATATTCAAATCTTTCTCTTTCTTGTCCCTGAAAAGCACAGATGAGATGCTGCTAAATTAACAGAAACCTGCTCATGAGAGCCAGGTGCAGTTGGCGAAATTTTTGCTGCTTTGATTGCTTGGACTATTTTAATCCTATATAATAAAGAGGTGATATGCAAATTGACCATCACTCCCTCACACAAGATGGCCACCACATGATGGCTGGCAAGGGAGGGAAGTTGGGGGTGACAAGGCCTGTAGGCCGGGGCGGGGGGGGGGGGGGGGAGCAGTTGGGGGGATCATGCCTGCAGGGGAAGGAGGGCAGTTAGGGGCAACCAGGCTGGCAGGGGAGGGCAGTTGGGGGGGGATCAGGCCTGCAGGACAGGGCAGTTGGGGGCAATCGGGCCTGCAGGACAGGGCAGTTGGGGGCAATTGGGCCAGCAGGGGAGCAGTTAGGCATCAATCAGGCCAGCAGGAGAGTGGTTAGGGAGCCAGTAGTCTCAGGTTGTGAGAGGGATGTCCGACTGCTGGTTTAGACCCGATCTCCTACAGGGGGGTACAGGCCGTTCTGAGGAACGAATTTTGTGCACCAGGGCACAAATTTCGTGCACCAGGTCTCTAGTAAGTATATAAGTCTGGGTGCATTTAATAAGCAAAATGACACTCATTTACTGCCTCCACTGCCTTCCCCTCCTTGTCCATTGTCCTGGGTCCAGTAGGTGCCAAGACCACTGAGTTTCAGTGGAGAGACCCTTTGCTGGCTTACCTGGCCTGCCCTATTGGCTTCCCCTCTGGGGTCTGTATGTTAATGGCACTACCATACAGGTGCCCCTCTCGGATCAGACCCACTTTTCCTGGAGGGCCAGTGCTTGGTTCTCCTCCAAACCAGGTCGTTTTGGACAGTCGTCACCAGTGGGAAGTGTTGGGTTCATTAGCAGGTAGGTGGTTTGAGGGCAGCGAGGCGGGGAGTGATCCTTAGTAACCCTCCTCTCATTCAGCATCTCTGTGCTTCCTCCAAATGTGAGGGCTTCGAGCTTGAACAGTTTATTTTCCTCTTTTTATAAAGGAGGAAGCGAAATAATGAGAATGTTATATCTTTTTGCCTGGTGGGATGATGACAAAACCAAGATTAAAACCTAATCTTCTAACTGAAGAACTGGGTGGAGGGGAGGGTGAGGAGTTACATTGTCATTGGCGAACAGGGAACAGGCTTAGCAGGGAAGAGTGGGGCCACAAGGGCATGAAATGGGAGTTGCATGGTGCACTTCTCCTCTGACTTAAAATTGAGGTTGACTAAATTCTTAGCATTTTATGTAAAGCCGTAGACTCAGATTGGTCTTGTTAAAAATCAAAAGTGAAGATTAGAGTCACAGTTAAAAGAAGATTAATGTTTTATTTCCACAGAGATCTTTTTTAAGACCTGAAATCTCCTGGTATGACTCTTTATTAAAATGTTCAAGGCCTGGGAGAACTGTCCTGGTCTTTAAACTTCAGAAGGGAGAGTAGGGGAGCCTCGGGGCTTGAGCGCTCCACCAGAAGAGCTCTCAGTGGGAGAAGTGCTTCCTGGGTGGTTATCTCGTGAGTCTGGTCTGGTCAGGCTGGTGTTAATGGGATTTGGAGTGGCCGCTGTGGGGAGTACAGTGTGGAAGTGGTGATCGCAGGAGTAGAGACAGCAGTGTCTCAGTCTCCGGATAGACAGGGGTCATCCCCATGGCTCTGATGGGATGGTGGTCACAGCCCAGCACCTAGACTCCTTGTGGTGTCTCCCAGAATCACTGAGCATTTTCTGCTCTTAAACTTGATGGTTTGGGCCCACTGACTCTTAGTGCAGTCTCCAAACCCACGTCCCTGTGGAGTGCACAGGTGGTGCAGGCTCTGCCCTCACAGTCAGCCTCAGGCACTGACAAGTTTTAGCACCTTCCTCTCTTCTCTTCTTGCCCTGAGCCCGGGCTCTGGGTGGTTCTTCTCTCATTGGGTGTCATGTGGTCTCACCATCCCTGAAAGAGCTGTGTTCTGTCCTCGTGGTGAGGGCCCAGAGTCCAGTGGTGCTCTAACAGTCTGTCCAGCCAGTGCCCATTGTTGCTGCCCTGCCCGAGCCCTGAAGCAAGACTCGAAGCTCCCAGCCAGGGCCTGTTTCTTGCTGTCCTCTGTGGCTGGTGCTGGCCTTGGAGAATGCACATTTCTCAAGTATATGGCTTATTCTGATCTAATCTTCTCCCTCTCATTCTCCACCCCCTCATTTTGAGGGCTTTTATTTTCCTGTAGAAATTCTTTTTTTTTTTTTTTTTTTAAATCTAATTCCTAAGCAGTATGCTTATTGAACCCACAGACTGCTTTTGGCTCCTGGATGCGCTCCTTCAGTACACGTCGTATGGGGTGACACCTCCCAGCCTCAGTCATTCTGGGAACCGGCAGCGCCCTCCCAGCGGGGCGGGCTCCGCCCCTCCAGAGAGGATGGAAGGTGAGTGGGCCGGCAGGTGCTCAGTGCGCGTGAGGGGGGAGACGGCGGGGGGGGGGCGGGGGGGGATTGGGTGAAGCTTGGCTCAGGCTGTTTCAGGAAATAGTCATGCCTGTCAGAAAATGGAGCCAGTTAGAGGTGCCTCTGGTTGTTTTTCCTAACAACTGTGGAAGGAGTAGGGGCCAGTGGCTCTAGCCTGCGGACAGGGTCATTCTCTTGTGAACAGAAGGGACATGGACTGAGGCCCTCAGGTGCCAGTGCTTTCCCATGCTCACTCCTGGGTCCTCACAGTGCTCCAAGTTGATGTTTATCATCCCACTCTCACAGACAAAGATCCTGGCTCCTCCCCAGGGAGGAACAGCCAATCTTTTTTTGTTTTGTTTTGTTTTTTATTGATTTTAGAAAAGATCGGAGGAAAGAAAGAGAAAACATCAATAATGAGAGAGAATCATTGGTCAGCTGCCTCCTACACACTCCACACTGGGGATCGAGCCCACAACCCAGGCATGTGTCTTAACCAGGAACTGAACCGTGACCTGGTCAACCACTGAACCACACCAGTCAGGCAACAGACAGTGTTTTTGAGCTCTCCCTAGGTAGCAGGCACCTGGGCTAGGATGCTTTACAGATTCCCTCACTGGGTCCTCCCAGAACCCTGTGAAAATAGATAGTATTCTTTCCAGTTCACCAGTGAAGAAACAGGAGCTGAGGGAATTCAACTAACTGCCCGAGGCCACCAGTGTTATGCAGTGGAGCCTGAAGAGAAGGTTCCGTGGGACCTGCGGCCTCGCCCGCGTGGTGTACAGCAGGCAGGGCTGATCGTGCTCTCATGGCCCGAATGTTGTGATCCTCGCAGCGCTGTCCACAGAAGTGCAGTGTGAGCCACAGGCGTAATTCTGAATTTCCCAGTGGCCACATTAAAAAGGTAAAAGGAAACAGGTGAAATTCACTTTAATAAAATACTTTAGCCTAGTACACCACGGTATTATTTAAATACGTGACACCCCATTTCAGTTGCTCAATAGCCATATATAGCCAGTAGCTGCAGTATTGGATAAAAGTAGTTTTGAACTTTGAAGATGCAGATTTTTTTTATCCTGAAAATTAAATATTTCACAAGAGAAATAATTTTCTATGAAGAGTATCTGTAGGTTAGATTCCTCAAGTATAGCCTGGTACATGTAATTACAGTTAGTAAAGGTTGCTCAGCCACTGCAAGCGTACCGTGTGGCCACTTTAAGGGAGCAGCGGTTCTGTTTACTTTCCTTCACAATGAGCACACATCACTGGGTGCCCCCAGTCAGGTCTTACTTCTGAAGCACCTGGAAGACAGGTTAACAGAGCACACAGTGGGCACGTTGGCAGGAAAGCAGACAGATAAGTAATGAAGCTTCATTTTTTCCCCTGGCATTTTCATAACATCGATCGGTTCCTGCTGTCGGTTGACGCCGCCTAGGAAACCACCTGCACCGGTATTCCAAGGTCCTGGAGGCCCGTTTGGGAGGCCCGGAGCCTCGGGCTCTGCCTGCCTGCCCACACCTGTCATGGGCCAAGCCACAGCCTTTAAATGAGACAGCTCCCAGGTTAGTGTCTTCCTGTGCTTTTCCACCCCTTCTGCAGGATTTGTGATTCATTACCTTTATTAAAATAAGAGAATGGAATTTTCCTGGCATTTTTGTCAAATCTTCTTGCTTGTTGCTTCATGGTAGTTATTTAAATTATTGACCTTTAGAATTCTGCTCTCTGGTGGTATTCTACATAAAGAAGTACTTTGGGTAATTAACATTTCCTTAGGTTTGGTCGATTCTTGCTCTAAAAGCTGTGATCCGGTAGTGATTTAACTTGAACAGAAGCTCTGGGTTTGGGGTTCAGGGTTGAGTCCTCCCTGTTTGCGATGTTGATTCTGAAATGCAGAGCGGTCCTTTCTTTTGTCATGCCCAAGGGGCTGGGCCTGCTTGTGGTATATGAGTCCTTGGTTGTGGCTTGGCTGAATGTGCATCTGTGCCGTTCTCCCTGTGTCTGGTAAAGTGACCTCCTACCACAACAGGGTCATTGTGGGTGATGCACAGACATTGACCTGCCCGCTTCTCTATCTTACTATCGAACTTGACCTTGCGTCATTTCTTTTCGGAAGCCAGTTTGAGTTATCCATGGACAGTATCTTGCTCTGTCAACGAGAATGGGGCTTTTCCTGACTGAGGATCCTGGCATAGTGAAACAGGCCCATGTCCCGGGCACAGGACATGGGTAGTCCCCCCCTCCCTCTCCTTTGAGGGGTTCTGTGAGAAATGGTCTCCCCTGACAGGCAGCACACTGCAGGCGCTCTGGATCTCACTACACCCTTCAGGCAGCTTCGCCCTCTAGGGTGGCTTCTGCCTTCTCTCACCCACCAGGCTGCCCGCTTTGCTTGGGTCTCGGTATATACAGATGTTGGTGTGGATAGGGGGCATGTGGCAGGGAATAGAGGACCACCATCTATGCTTCAAGCTACCAAAAGGAGGCCGCCTGCACAAGGCCTGGGGGCCGCCTCTGCTCTCCTGCTGTCATGAGCAGCAGCACGGTTCAGCACTCACTGACCATATGGCCTTGCTAAGCGTGCTCCATCGAAAACAGTGGGATGATAGCATCATCACCTTGTGTTCCCATCAGCAATTTTCCTTCTGAAGCTGTAATTACTGGTACTTTTCCATTCTAGTTAGCACCCTGTCATTTAAAATTTTTTGAAAAGATTCCATTTTTACATGTCATCTATTTATAACGTATCATTATCTAGCATTCTGACCAGACTTTTAATTCCAGCTGTGATCAGCAATTCATAATCATTGGACAGTTGTTGGCTAAAGTTCCCAAAACCCACTTATTCTTCACGATGCTGGTCAGGGCTCTAAGAAACAGATAACAGCACCCTTAGTCTCTGCCCATCCATCAACGCCAACCTGGCCCATCAAGGGTGCCAGTAATGTGCAGCTCCAAGAATGTGATTTTCACCTCTTGCTCAGGAATTCCTTCCTCACACACTCACAAGGCTTCGCCTTTAGCTCACATTTCACATCTTGTTGAATATTAGTCTCAGTCCTCAGAGACCTAGACCTGCATTGAGTCTCTGAAGAGATTTGAATAATGTCAGACAGCTGCCAGAGCCCTTGGAAGGCCCAGTGTCCACTGTCAATGCCGAGTGCCTGTTTCAGGTCCATCTCTGAAATGTAAGCTCTTTTCTCTGTGTCTTTGCTGAGCATAGGGATTCTCTAAGAGCTGTGACATGCGTGTCACACCCACTGGGAGCTCCCTCCTTCAGAACATTGTAAAATTCTCAATGGTAGCATTGTGTACTGTTACCACAGTTGCATAACTATAAAGTGCTATCACCAGATAATTAAATTCCAGAACAGGATGTTACCAATGAGAATTAAAATACAGCCCCATATATATTCAGCTACAGAGTCATAAAGCTTAAATGTCATCGACTCTATAACTTAACACTGTCAGTTTAATTTTCAGACTGATTGAGCCTGAAGTGAAAAGTTAAATCATACAAAGCAGAAAGGTTGTAATACTCATTGGCATTTTCCAGGCAGCCGCCCTGGTGGAAGTACACGATAGTAGTTTATCTCTTTCCTATACAGAAACCCTTTCCACAGACCTAGTGTCTGCAGCTTCTGCTTGACCTCACCTTGATTGCTGATAGAACTGAACATCTTTGCTTTTACTTGGCCAAAGTAAGAGAATGAATAAGTAGCAGAAAAGTAGGAATTCATAATTTGTGAACATACCTCATTTTGGCCAGAACAGCCTTCACATCTTTCTGTTTGCACTCTTTGCTCTTATATTTGGGTGTCCTCTCAAGCTCTTTACTGCTCTTGGCAGCATGTCAGCCTCTCTGTGCTTCAGGTTTGAGTTATATTGGCCTGAATAAGTTCTTCCGATCTCAGAATTAATAGTAGCGCTGCTGTAATGAATCCAGCACATTTCACAGCCCGTGTTTCCTTTCCTCACTGTCCTGGTCCAGTGAAGTGCTCTCCCCATTCGCCTCTCTCAACTCCTAGGTTCCTGGGCTGCCTTATTCTCCCTCCTGATGATGGTGCCCTTTAAAGGAGAGAGTCTGGCTCCGGCACCGGTGTAGTCATCTTTGCTGCATTGGTTTGCATTTATCTGAAAGTAGCTCCCACCTTCAGTGTCTCGTCGCAGAGACCTTCGGTGCCTGTAGTCCTGCCTATGGCCACAAAGCCCTGGTTTAGCTCCTGCCCCCTCCGAGCACCTTTCAGAGGTTAACATGGTGCTTCCTCTCCCAGTGCTCTGAATCTCCCAGGCTGCAGTGTTATCAACCCAGCAGAAACACTCCCTGCTCAGATATGAAAACCTCATGGGTATGGACTTGATTTTGACATTTCTGTCTCAACCTGGAAGTTGTCTCTATAGCTGTTACGCAGTTGCATTGAGGTTGATGTAGAAGGACATCATTTCAAACTTTTCTTTAAATCACTTTTTGGCCGAAACCGGTTTGGCTCAGTGGTAGAGCGTTGGTCTGCGGACTGAAAGGTCCCAGGTTCGATTCCGATCAAGGGCATGTATATTGGTTGCGGGCACATCCCCGGTAGGGGGTGTGCAAGAGGCAGCTGGTCAATGTTTCTCTTTCATCGACGTTTCTAGCTCTCTATCCCTCTCTCCTCCTCTCTGTAAAAAAATCAATAAAATGTGTTAAAATAAATAAATAAATAAATAAATAAATAAATAAATAAATAAATCACTTTTTGTTTCTTAGCTATTGGGTAAGCTTCCTAGGGTAGTACAGTTGCTTATTTTTATTTTGTTTTAATCCATTTTCCTGAAGTAATCTTTGGAAACATCAGAAGCTACTCTCCATCGACCTGGACAAAGTGGTGTTACCCAACTTTCGATCGAATCGCCCTCAAGTGAGGCCCTTGTCTCCCGGAGAAAGTGGTGCCTGGGACATTCCTGGAGGTCAGTTCTCAGGTGCTTCCTCACTATGCTAAGTCACACTGCAGCTGTTCAAAGGCTCTTCCTCCAGACGGTGGGCTGGATGGCTCCCATCTTTGCCTTCTTGAGAGCTATGGTGGTACGAATCAATAAGGCCATAAGCAGGCCTAAGAAAGTAGCACACTATCCTCCCTCTCAGAAAATTCTACCATGGGTTTTCAGATTTGAATTTCTTTTATGATAGTTCAGTATTACACTTGAAATTTTTCCAACAGAGTAACTTGCAGATTCTTATTCAGGTTCTACCAACAAAATATAACCAAGGGGATGGCTATTATTAGCTGTTTTTTGTTTGTTTGTTTGTTTTTTGTTCAAGCCAGTGGCTATAGCCACCCTGGCCCCTGAGCCCTTAGCCCAGAGGTCTCCACCAATTATCTGCCCTTCTCCACCTAGGTCAGACCTCACTGATTTTATTCCTCACCCTAAGTGACATCCAGTGTACCCACTACAGATAATGGCTTTGGCCTGACTGGTCTGTCTGGAACAGGTCCTCCCTTACCTGGGACAATTGGTACCAAGTCACTTCAGCAGTGAGCAGGTGGCATTCTTGCTCTGGAAACACCTGTGCTCCTCCAAGGGTTTACATCTCCCATGCAGGGTTTCTTCTGGTTCCAGGGATTGGCCAAAAATTCCGAAAGGGGCACCACAGCTCATTCAGTTCAACTCTGGGAGCTTTGTGTGGCGATGCCAAGCCTCAGAGGGCCTTGCCTTCAGGTCTTGGGATGCACTGAAGATAGTCATTTTGAACCCCAGCATTCCTGAGTTATGGAGTCATTCTAACTATAAAGCGAGGGTTCTCAGTGGCCACTCTTAGTTTCTGACCACGTGTCCCATCTGTGCAAGGCTTTCCCAAGAGTCTGGGCCACAGCCAGCCATCTCTAACTTCCTGCCTGGCCTCCTCTCTCTTCCTTCTACTCGGCTAGGAAGGAAGCACCCTTCTCCCCAGCACCCATATTTATTATCTGTTGTTTTTGGACAAAAAGCAGCTCTGGGCAACCCTGTTAGAGAGTGTCTGTGACAGGAGAAAGGCCACTCCTGGTCTCTGTCTGATGTGAGCACAGACCTCCTTGTACACATCCCCCCCCCATAGGCATGCACACACACACCCACACCCACACTTAGAAGCTGCCAATCTGAGCCGAGACCGGTTTGGCTCAATGGATAGAGCGTCGGCTTGGGGACTGAAAAGTCCCGGGTTCGATTCCAGTCAAGGGCATGTACTTTGTTTGTGGGCATATCCCCAGTAGGGGGTGTGCAAGAGGCAGCTGATTGATGACTCTCTCTCTCATCGATGTTTCTAACTCTCTCTCTCCCTTCTTCTCTGTACAAAATCAATAAAATATATTAAAAAAAAAAAAAAAAAGAAGCAGCAGCTGCCAATCTGAGAACGCACCTGCAGGTTGCTTCGATTCACTCTCTAATTCACTGGGTTACTTTAGCTAAGGTTTAAAAATTATGTTTGTCCTGCAAGCCCAGCTAATGAAATTAGTTAGCATTTTGTTCCTGATGAGCCTGCCTCTCCCGGGAGAAGAGGCTGTGGCGTTACTGATCATTCACCGCTGTCCCCTTGCAGGGATCATGCCTGGCCGCTACAACCAGGAGGTGGGCCAGACCATTCCCGTCTTCGCCTTCCTGGGAGCCATGGTGGTCCTGGCCTTCTTTGTGGTACAAATCAACAAGGCCAAAAGCAGGCCGAAGCGGAGGAAACCCAGGGTGAAGCGCCCACAGCTCATGCAGCAGGTTCACCCACCAAAGACCCCTTCTGTGTGACGACGTCAGACTACTGACTGTGGGAGCCAGAGAGGGCCTTTCCTGGCAGTCTTGGTGGGCAGGCGGGGCTGGGGTGTTTCTAGAGGAGTCGCCTGCTTACAGGGCCTTACTCTCCAGCTGCAAGGGTCCGAGAGGCTGTTCTGAACAGGCTTCCCCTTGTGATGCATGGAGGCTCATGTACATCTCAGAGTGTCCCAGGGCCAGGGTCCATCAGGAGGGATTCTGTGGATCAGCCTCAGGTGGACTTCATCCAGCCGCTGCATGCACCAAAGACTTGGAGGACAGCAAAGGCGGTCCGGGGTCCCAGCCGGAGAGGGAGGATATACTGTTCAACAGTGACACAACTCCAACCAAGCTAAGATACGCTCATTACGGCTATTTTCTATATTTATTGTTGGGGAAAAGTCACTTTAAAGACTTATGCTATTTGGAAGCAAAGCTATTTTTTTTTTTTTTTTTTTGTCAACGGAATGCAGTTTTTTACTATTCCATCATGAGGAATAACACAGGTTCCGTGATCTCCTTTTTGATGAAAGGACAGACTGAGATTTGAAGGCAATTGCACAGATCTGTGAAACATAGACCTTCGCTTTATTTTTATAAGTCTCAACTGCCATCATGTTTTGTAATTTGGGGTCTTGATTTCACCATTGTCGGTGAAGAAAATTTTCAATAAATATGCATTACCTGTATGAAGCTCAGAGGGATTGTGTCACGGCTCTGTTTTCTCCTGTCCCTTTTCTCTTGTATGATAGCCTGGAATAGGCTCTGTATTAGCCTGTTAATTTTTGTTGAATGTAATTCACGTACTATAAAAATCTTTTTAAAGTGTACATACAATTCAGTAGTTTTTAGTATATTCACAAGGTCATGCAACCATCACCCTCACAATTCTAGAACCTATTCATCACTCCCAAAAGAAACCCTGTTAGCTGTCAACCTCTGTTCCCTTCCCCAAAGCCCATGGCAACCACTAATTTGCTGTCTATGGACTTGCCTATTCTGAACATTGTATATAAATGGAACCATAAAACATATAGCTTTTGTGACTGGCTTCTTTCATTTAGCATGTTTTTAAGACTCATGAGAGCAAGTCAGTACTTTGTTCCTTTTTCTGGCGGAATGGATAGACCTCATTTTGTTTATCTATTTCTCAATTGATGGTCATTTGAGTTGTTTCCACTTTTTGGCTATTGTGAGTAACGCTTTCTCTGAGCATTTGTGTACAAGTTTTTGTGTGGATGTAAGTTTTCATTTTTGTTAGGTAGATACCTAAGAGTAAAATCATATAGCTCCTGTGTCTGTGTTTCTGAGAAATTGCCCAACTCTTTGTTTCCAAAGTGACTGCCTCTTTTTACATTTTCACCAGTGTGGATGAAGGTTCCAGTTTCTCAACATCCTCATTGGCTTTTGTTACTGCCCATCTTTTTTATTCTAGCCATCATAGTGATGTGAAGTGGTTTTGATTGGCATTTTTCTAAAGACTAATGATGTTGAGCATCTTTTCATGTGCTTCCTGGCCATTTGTATATCTTCTTTGGAGAAATGTCTATTCGGAGCCTTTGCCCATTCTTTTATTGGGTGACTTGTAAGAGTTCTTTATATTTTCTAGATACAAGTCTCTTACCAAAGACACATGATTGCAATTTTTTTTTTCTCATTTTGTCTGTTTTGTTCCCTTTCCTGATGGTATCATTTGAGGCATAATTTTTTTTTCTTTTCATTTTGATGAAGTTTATTTTATCTACTAGGTGGCATTTCTAAGAAACCAGTCTAAGGCAACCTGTTTTTAACCCCCGCCTGACCAGTCTTTATGTCGACTGGGTGAACATCAGCCTTCATTCACATCACAGGTGAAGACGGACGGACTGGAAAGGAGGTGGTAGAGGCCATGTGGGATCAAGGTGTTCATGAAATTCTGGGGGGAAAAGGCCCGGGGATGAGGGAGCAACTGTTAGGCCCAGCTCCTGTGATGGGTTCTCCTTAGCAAGTCACGTTGGTGACCTTGCACTTTTAAGTGCACTCTGGCTGCTATTGGCTTGAGGCTTTGGAGAAATTGCCGAGGGCCCCACAAAGCTTTCCCATCCCAAGCACCCCTGAGGACTGCAGTGTGCTGCCCTTAGAGATGGGCTGTGGATCTGAGTGTCACTCCCACGTATCAAAGGCTTGCACACTGTTTGCTATGGAGCCCTCTGGTCCCCCTGCCTACCCTCCACAGCCAGGGTCATGGCCTGTCCTTGTCCCACAGGGGAGTGAGGACATGGCCCCAGCGGCAAACAGCAGGTTGCAGGGTTGGTACAGGCTGGAGCGCCCAGGCCCTGTCTCGGGGACAGCACATCTTAAGTTTTCTAGAGAAGCCTGAAATCTGTGAAACCTCCCGTTTTAATGTTGGCAAATGATTGAATTAGAGAAAGTTTTGTGTAAACCAGGCAAGGCTTCTCCATCTCTGTCATACAGTTATCCAGACACCGTAGCGAGGTGACTGGAATGAAGTTCTAGTCCCCATGCAGCACCAAGTTTGTAGTCTCTGCAGGCTGCAGCCTCCAGCTTACCGGTCTTTCTCAAACCTGGATGCCTCACCTCCAAATGATGGCGCTTGGACCCAGGGTGTCCCCTGTTCCTGGCCGAGGTGTATGTCTACATGTGTCACTTGCCTTCGGGACTTGGCTCTCCTGCCTCCCCCCTTCCCTGAGCCGAGGCCGCTCACTGCCCTGCTTGCTCACTGCAGAGACGGGTCCTGCTCTTTAGATGAGGTGGCCCTGCCAACCCCAGGAGCGAGCACACTTGTGGCATATTTGTCTCGGTGCACATTTGTAGGGTCCTGTAGCTGGGACAGGAGAGGACAGGAAAGGACAAGCACAGGCAGTAAGGCTAAATCAAGAACAGAAGAGAGTTGTTAAGATAGTGGTTACTGCAGCTCCAAGAAGAGAACCTGCATGAGGGATGATCTAACAGTGAAGTTAACTAGCAACGCGTAAAGGCTGGTTGTCTTTGAGTAAAGAGCAGCTCTGCAGTATTGAAGGCCTGGGGCAAAGAAAGGCTTTCTGGAACTGGCAGCAGGGGTGTGCCTGCCAAAGGCTGTGTTCAAAGAGGAGCGACAGAAAACGAAGGCGGCTTCTTCCCTGCCGGGTACTGTGAGGAGCTGGGAGCCAGACTCACTGCGCTACGTGTAGTATGTGCACAAATTTCACCTGTGCGCCAACCCGGGCAAGTAGGCATTCTGCCCCATTCACAGAGGAAGCAGCAGCTGGGCTCAGTACCTTCCAGAACCCACAGTGAGCAATTCAGGCACAAAGCCTGAGTGCCCACCTCTGTCCCTCCTGCTGGCATCTGCATGACGTCCGTGTCTGCCTCATTTTAGGGACAGTGGCACTTTGGGAGGATGGCTGGACAGGGCGTCGTGGGACAGAGTAGAATCATGGGAGCGCTGTCCAAGGAGAAAGGCCTTGTCAGGTGGTTGCCATGGGATACCTGGCTCACCTGGGAGGAGTGTTCCAGAGAGGATGTTACCGGGCAGGGCACAGGTGTTGAACTGCATCTCTGGCCCTGGGTCCAGTTCCAGCCTGGCCACTTCCTGCTCATGGGCCTTTACTGATCAGGCCCTGTGCCATCCTACAGCCACGTGGTGGCACGCCAGCACCCAGTTATGTCAGCCCCTGTCAGTGGTAGATCTTGGTGACAGATGTACTTGAAGGCTGTGGGCCCCGGCCAAGCCAACTCTGCTTCAGGGAACCTTTTCTTCTGACGTGTCCTCTCATCCTAGTGAACAATTATATCTTAAAAACAAACACAGGCAACCAACCCACAGCAATCATAGACAGGAAATAGGGCCCCTGGGAACCAGGAGGGGCCAGGTGTAAGGTTGGGCCCCAGGACTCACCACTAACCACTCTCTCCCATAAAGTTAGGAGGGGCTCTGGCTGCAGGAGCTTGAAGGTGCTGCACCACCTGAGCCCCACCCAGTGGCAGGGACATGCAGGTCTGAGACCTTCCCTGTACGTGCACTTGCCCATCTTGTGCTCTTACAGGAACAAGCCCTGTGCACGGGGAACCTGAGGGAGCAGGAATGGTCCCTGCCATTGGTGAACCTGCCCAGCAACCATTGCACTGCGTCTGCTCACCGTCAAGTGGACCAATTTAAAAACATTATGCTAAGTCCAAGGAGCCAGACACGAAAGACCACACAGTGTATGAGCCCAGCTCTGAGGACAGGCATATCTGGTTGCTCAGGGCTGGGGGAGGGGGTGATGAGAATAGCTATGGATTTCCTCTGGGGGAGATGTAGATGTTTTAGAACTGTGGTGGTTGCACACAACATTGCAAATGTACTGAATGCCCATTTTAAAATGGTGAATTTTATGTTCTACGGATTTTGCCACTGAGTTTTCCCAGGGGATTCTGTGAACCGGCAAGATGGAAGCCCTGGGCTTGGACACCTGAGAGGCTCCTGGGGGTCAGGACCCAGGTGATGACTCCTCTTCTCTCCAGCCGCTAAAACCCCCATGGAGTGTCCTCAGGATGCAGTGAGCAAGAGGAAGGTCAGAATCTCAATGTTGAAGACACTGCCTTATCCTTCCAGGTACCCTCTTTCACCCAGAGCAGGACTCGGGTCATAGCTCTGGCACCAGCCCCTCTTTATAGGGAGGGGACAGCAGGACTTGGCCGTGTCTCCCTGGAGTCTCCAGACAGGGCTCTGCAGAAGAGACCCCTACTGTTGAGTCCCCGGTGTGGGGAACTCAGAGTGCTGGTGTGTCCATTTCCAGTTGCTCCTGAGACAGATCACCACAAATTTGTGACATAAAACGACACATGGATTCTCCTATAGTTCTAGAGTTGGGAAGTCCGAAAATCCTCCTTGGGTTCCACAGGAGACCCGCTTTCCTGCCTTTTCCAGCTTCTGGGGGCTTCCCAAATGCCTTGGCTTGTGACCCCTTTCTTTATTATCACTCCAACCTCTGCTTTTGTCATCACTTCACCTCCTCTCTGACCTCTGACCTCTCCTACATTCCTGTTTTAAAGGACCACTTGGATCATCCAGGATACTCGCCCCATCTGAGGGTCCTTAACTTGCTCTCATCTTCCGAGTCCCATTTGCCATGCCATTCAGCCGAGGACATTTTCAGGGGCCGTTATTCAGCTGACCAGGCTGGTTTCCCTGTCCCTTAGCTGTCACATGTCTCACAGGAGGACTTGTGTCCCTTCTGGTTAACAGCTACAAATCAAGCTGCCTTTAAAAGTCCACGGTTCCTGTCATGAAGACCTTGAGGCTTTACCCCTTCAGCGACTGGTTTACTCCAGCATTTTACTAAGCTGCCTTCAGTGGGCCAGGCCGGGCAGAAAGCTGCAGGGAAAAGAGGGGACTGCGAGCTCAGAACTGGGGTGTTCCACAGCACGTTAGCATGTCCTGGGAGCTTCACAGAAACTTGAAGCCCACCTGCCCAGCCCACTTCATCTGCAGCCCTGATGGTGGGTCCGGCATTGGCAGCTAACGAGGTCCTTGGGCATTCTTGTGTGGCCAGGGGTCAGAACGCTGCTCTCGAAGCTCAGAGTCGGGCAGAGGGAAAACGTGTGTCAGAAATGGAATGTGATGTGCCCTTGTTCAACAACAGCTAGTAGGCATGCCTACTTCTGGGTCATGAGCGTTCTCATGGAACCCTCCCACGCACAGCTTTGCAGGGTAGCAGCGTTATCACCCCATTTCACAGGTGACCAGCGAGGCCCTGGTCACAGTGAGTGACGAGGTCACCCTTCAGTCTCAGGCACTCTGGCTCCTGAGACCTGTCTCCAGAACTTTCTACCACACTTCTTGGGAAACAAGCTGAGGACACTTTCTCCTGGAACTTTCTAACCCGTCTCTGACCATTGTACTCTGAGGAGTAGGAAAGGAGGGACGGAGGGAACGACCCTTGATGACAGTTGCTCCCCTGGTAGGGTGACACCGGGAGAAGGAAGATGGCTCCTGAGTGTGGGCGGGCGCTGGGCTACGCACCACCTGCCTCATGCTAAGGTCACCCGAGTGCCACCTCCCTGCCTCCCTGTGCACGGGAGCGCCTGCCGCCCACACAGATGGGCCCCACAGGGCGCTTCTCTGCTGCCGCGGAAAGGTCACCCAGCCCTGGGATGCTGGCAGAGAGAGCATATCAAAGCCCCTCAGATTTAAGAGGTTTTCCCATTGAGTGGAATTTCACAGCCCACTGGCCAATTTCTAAGTCATGCACATTAATGGGCAGCTAATGAGGGACCCAGGCAGGCGCAGGAGCTGAGATTAAGGAGTACAAAGCCAGGCCGCTGCTCTCTCCCTGCTTTGGGGGCCGCTTTGGGAGAGAAAGTACAAGGTGGGGCTACATTGGAAGGCCTGGGAGAGCCTATACCAGCCTTGCTGCTGCAGGCCTCCACCTGCTGCCACAGCCTTCCTCCCCGCCATGCCCCATGCCCGCCTCAGACCCTGGTGCAGTAAAAAGTCCTTTCCCAGGTGTCTGACCTGGGTCTCCACCCGACGAACCCCAACCTCAGGACACCTCGGCCTTCCTGGGAGCGTTGGCTCATTCCCTGAGCTGAGCCTTCGAACAGGCACTGGCCACTCCCCTCTACCCGCCCCCCCCAATGTCTTCCTCTTGGCACCTCCTCTAAGAAGCCCCTCACGATTTCCCTCCCTCCTGGAGTCTTGTGGTCCACTCCATCTCCTCTGAATCCCTAGGGCCTGGTATACATAGGTGCTCAATCAATCAATCAATCAATCAGTCAATCGTGTTTGTCACTTTATTGTATGACTGAGTGGTTGCAAGCATAATCAGACCCCAGATCTTTGGGGTATGTATGGTGTGCTGAATGGTGACCCCTAAAAAGTTACGTTCATGCCCCAGAGCCTGTGAATGTGATCTTATTTATTTTTTTAAATATATTTGTATTGATTTCAGAGAGGAAGGGAGAGAGAGAATCATTGATCAGCTGCCTCCTGCACGACCCTTCTGGGGGATCGAGCTCACAATCCAGGCATGTGCTCTTAAACAGAATCTAACCCAGGGCCCTTCAGTCCGCAGGCTAACACTTCGTCCACTGAGCCAAACCGGCTAGGGCTGAATGTGATCTTATTTAGAAAAAGGGTCTTTGCAGGTGTAGCTAAGGATGTCGAGATGAGATCATCCTGGATATCTGAGGGAACCCAAATCCAATCACCACTGTCTTCCTTTTCCTGTAAGAAAGGAAAGAGTAGTCACAGGAAGAAGGCCATTTAAAGAGAGAGGCAGAGGTTTGAGTGATGTGGCCACGAACTAAGAAACCTGTGGAGCCCCCAGAAGCTGGAGGAGACAGGAAGGTCCCTCCCCTAGAGCCTTTGGAGGGAGCGTGTCCCTGCTAACCCCTGGACTTCAGACTTCTCACCTCCGGAACAGTGAGAATAATTTGTGACAGCCGGCTCAGGAGATGAACATGTCCGGGAAAGTATGTGATGTTCCTTTTAGTCTTTTCTGGAGTCTGTGTACTCATCCAGCCATCTATTCACTCACTCACTCTTTCAGCCCTTCCTGTCCAGAGCACTGTCAGGGTCAGGGCATGGTGTGGAGACAGGATGGCACTGCAGGCTGGGATGATACCCACTCAGGGCTAAAACCCTGTCCTGTCACTTGCCAGTGATGACCTTTTCTTTCATTGATTTTTGCTTTTGTTTTAGAGAAAGGAAGAGAGAGAAAAATGTCCATCAGTTGTCTCCCAATGCCCTCTGACCAGGGATCGAACCCACAACCTTTTGGTGTGCAGACGATGCTCCACCCAATGAGCCACCCGGCCAGGGTGCCAGTGATGACCTTTTGAGCCACTGGCTTCCCCTGCCTGTTCCCAGTTCCTGCCCTGTGAGCTGAGGCAGCACCCCCTTGGGATTGGGTGAGTGCTGGATCCCAGTGAGCACTGCCCCCTGGAGCCAATGTAAACACTGCCAGAGACATGGCCCAGCTCTGAGCTTCTTGGCCAAAATCTCCTCTCTTCTCACTGGTGCATGCTGGGAGGTCGGCCACACTGCAGGTCAAGCGTTTATTAGCCACCTGTTGTGCAGAGTCTGAAAAGGTATAAAGAGAGTGGGCCCCAAGGAAGTGACACAGTTAGAAACTTCATGGAGAAAAATTGTGGGGCACATCTGGTGTCCCACAGATAAGGGTTGATTGGGTGAGGCCCTGAGCATTGAAGATGTTTTTAACATGAGGCAGGGGTTCTCAAAGTGGGGTCCCCAGCCCAGCAGCATCAACGCCATCTGGGAGCTGGTTAGAAAAAGCGATTCTCAGACCCACTGAATCAGAAACGCTAAGGCTGGGGCCCCACAATTGGTGTTTTAACACACTCTCACACAGGGTTTTGAGCCTTGGGTACCAGGGATAAACAGTCACATCTGAATTCAAGATCTGACTTCCCTAGGCCTGCATTTCCTGGAACAGGGCCATTTTTTATTCTCAGCCATCAGTTGACAATGTGTGGGGTCAGAGTGGTGGTCTCAGAGGGTGGCCCGGGGACCAGCAGCACCTGCCTCCAGAGCTTGTGAGAACATGATTCTCTATTCCTCTCAAGATGGGAAGAACAGGAATCTGCGTTTTAACAAGACCCCCAGGTGATTCTGTGCACAGTCAGTGGAGACCTTCTCCACGGAGTACCTGCTGCCTGCCTGGGCCTCTGCCTGCCTCCGTCTACAGCTCCCTGCACCCCTGCGAGGCGGACACACAGACCTGTGCAGACGGGCTTGGGGACATCGCTGCTAACAGGTGACAGATGCTGCGCTCCAAGCTCTTTCCTCCCCCCTCATACTGGGGGTCTCCGGCATGGAGGAGGAGCCGTTGGAGAAACTGACCTGGTCCCTGCATGAGATCAGGTGTGTCCCTTTATCTCTCCCAGCTGAGCTCCCTCTCCCACTCCGCAGGCAGTCGGAAAGCCCTGCCTTCAGGGAGGAGGGGAGGAGCCTTCAGACCTCCTCAGAAGTCTCAGAAGCTGCAAGTTCTTGGGACAGATGGCACTGACTTCAAGTTCCTGCTCCCCTAGGTTTTGGGACATGACTTTAGGGCTCCCTTAGTTCACGACTCACTCATGACCCACCCCTGCAGAGCTGGAATCTTCCTTCTTCCACCCCTCTGGGCCCAAGAAATGCAGTGGAACCACCCGGAGTGAGCCCATCAGTCCATCCTGTCTCTCCCCTTGCAGTTTGCACTTGGTGGTAAGGACTAGAGCTGTCAGAGAGGTGGGGGGATGGGGAGAGGGAGCCGAGGGCTGGAAGGAGTTAAAGGTTTAGAAGAGGAAGGGGAGGGAGGGAGGGTCCTTCAGTTCAGTTTGAGAGCAGGAGTGAGGATAAGCTGGTAGAAAGCTAGAGGGGGAGGGCCAGGAGCTACATTTCTGGAGGTGGAAAGCAGCCGGGAAGAGAAGTGATGGGCCAATGAGTGAGCTAGGAGAAGGGGCAGCAGAGGTGCAGGAAGAGGGAGATGTGGTGGCTGGGACAACAGGAGAGACCTTTCCCAGCCAGAGAAGGATACTGGCTATGAACAGGAAGATGTGAAGACTGTCTGTTCTCCCCACCCCTCTGCTGCTCCTAGCCATGGAGGGACAGACTCCTGGAAGCAGAGGCCTCTTGGAAAAGCCCGTGACCGCCAGCCGCGGTCTGTCCTCCCTGAGCGCTGTCTTCATCCTCCTGAAATCTGCGCTGGGGGCCGGCCTGCTCAACTTCCCCTGGGCCTTCCACAAGGCCGGTGGGGTGGCCCCCGCCTTCCTGGTGGAGCTGGTAAGCCCCTGGGAAGCGATGTGGGGGGGGGGGGGTCTCCCCAGGCAGGATCCAGGGGGCATCCTCAGTAACAGAGCTGCCTGTCTTAGAACCTATGTACATCTGAGGGGTTTGATTTTCTGCCCGCTGAGCTCAACATCCTGTACCTGGGCACACAACATCCTCTACCTGCCCAGTCTGCTGCCAGGCACACCTGGACCCAATGAACCTGACATCTCCGCTGAGAAAGTGCTGAGCACACTCGGTCTCTGGCCATCGCCTGGCCAGTTGACCTCTGGTCTCAGGTCCACATTCAGATCAGGTCAGAACCAGGACTGGCTGGAACACTCCCGCCCGAGCTGGGCCAGGCCCTCTGCTGTCTCAGAGGCCGGCAGCCACTTCCAGGGCCTGCCTTCCAGCTGAGCTCCCTTTCCGCGAAGTGAGGGCCGAGCGGCTGTGGCAGAGAAGAACCACTGATTAGCGCAGCTTCTTTTGTTTGCGATGATTCTTTTCCTGGCTGCCGGGAGCCCGCGTTTTGTGGTAAGCTCTGTGACAGGCGTTGCAAATGCTTTTCCATGGCAGCCAGCTGATAATGGTCCTGTTCTTAATGGTCCTGTTCTGTGTGGAGGCCACGGGGCTGGATACAAGATACTTGAAATATCAAGATATTTCAGATGGTGGGTAGTGTTAGGAGGGTCACGTGACAGAGTGGGGCATCGTGACAGCTGGTCAGAGGACTCTGAGGGGGTGACATTGCACCGTGCCCCAGTGGAAATGGAAGGACGTGTCCAGGTGCATGAGAGGTGCAACATAATTGTGTTTGGATGGGTGCAACAGAAAGGCTGGCCTTTCGGTTCTGCCCAGTGTGCTCAGTGCTCACTGAGGGTCAAGGGTTTGATTCTCAGTCAAGGGCAGGTGCCTGGGTTGCAGGTTCTATCCCCAACCTGGTTGAGGCTGGTGCATGCATGAGGCAACTAATCAATGTTTCTCTCTTTCTTATTTTGCCCTCCCCCCTCCCTATCCTTCCTTCCCTCCCTCCCTCCCCTTCTACTTTTCCTAAAAAAACAACAACAATGGAAAACAAAATCCTAGGGTGAGGATTAACAGAACAAAACAAAAGGCTGTCCTCTCAGACAATGAGGAGTTAATGTAGGGCGTGGTTGGGCACAGAGGTGTCCAGTCTCCGTGGATGGCAGGGCTGGGAAGCAGAGCTGTGGCCCCCACTCCTCACACCCCTGCAGCACTCCTGGGCACCTTGCTGAAATGCAGATGCTGACTCAGCAGGGCTGGCAGGTCTGAAGCTGTGCATCCTGATGAACTTCTGGTGATGTGGAGGCTTGCACATTGTACAGTGAGGTCTAAAGAATGAGTAATTTGAAACCCTGGACAAGCGAAGGAAATCAGACTGGTAATGGGCACACAGACCCTCCCCGCCTCACCCCTCCTCTTGGGAGCCTTCTACCCTGTCCCCTTTGCAAGGGGCCAACTTGGACTTGGGGAGCATTTCAACATTCCCACCACCAGGAGGTCAGTGGTGTGAGAGGTGGTAGGTCTCTCATGACCCGTTAGCACAGGAGGATTACTAAGATTTAATGAACCTGACCCTCAGAAGTTGCAGAGACGGAGCCTGGGCACGAGCAATAAGGGATCTTTGCTGGCTGTCAGGGTCCCTCCAGGAATTCCTCACTGGCAGAGGCATTCCTCCACTCCCATCCCTTCATCCTCAAGTGCCTATCAACTGAGTGTCTGCTGTGTGTCAGGCACTTCTCTGGGGACTAAATGATGAGCAAAAAATGCCACAACCCAGTGTCACAGTGCTTAGAGGCTGTGGGTGAGAGATGCTGGAGACCCTGTAGTATATGTTCAGTTGTAAGCGTATGTCCTTGGGCTACTAGACCCAGGACCACAAACAGCAGAAATGTATCCTCTCACAATCCTGGACACTGTGTGAACGCAGTCTGTCAGCAGGACTCTGCTCCCTCCTTCCTGCCTCTTCCAGCTCCAGGTGGCCCCAGGCATCCCTTGGCTTGTGGCTACATCCCTCCAGCCTCTGTTCCATCATTACAGCCTTCTTTTTATGTCTTCTGTTCTGTCTCGTCTAAGGCACTTGTCATTAGATTTCAGAGTCTAGGATGATCCCATCTCAAGGTCCTTAATTACACCTTCAAGATCCCTTTTTATTTAATTACATCTGCAGAGAGTGCCCAATGTCACCTGCACCGGTGGTGGAGATGAGGGTGTGGACTTGTCTTCTGGGGACCACCATTCTTACCACGGCAGGCACAGTGTACTCAAGAAGGCATAGTTCTATGAGAGCCTGAGATGGGGGGGGGGCTGAGCCCACCTTGGGGTGAAGTGTCAGGGAGGCTTTCTGGAGGAAATGGCCTTAGAGAGGAGGGGGCAGATTAGGCGTTCCCCAGGTGAGGGGAAATGGTGGAAGCGGGAGGGCGTTCCAGGCAGAGGAACCAGCGTGGGCCAATGTTCACAGACCAAAGGAAACCATGTGTTCCTCCCAACTCGGAAGTTCCAGGTTCCTCTCCACAGTCCAGTTAGATGCTCCTCCTCACCAGCTGTGTTGTGGCATCTGGTGTAACACAGAATTAATCTGCTTCTCAGGGCCCTGCGCGCTCTGAGCATGTCCCAGCTCAGCGTTCTTCTTCCCCAGTTCCGGGCAGGGGTGCAGGGACCAAGTTCAGTTTGGGGCAGGAAGCCATCGGTCCTGCAGGGGTTCAAAACCATTCAGCTCCATGCAGCAAGTGGGGCTCCCATACACCCGTGGGGGTGCCCAGTGGCACAGGCACTTGGGAAAGCAGTTGGGCAGTTTCTTAGTTAAAAACGGGTCTCATCTATGACCCAGCGATTCTCCTGAGCTCATGTCCAGGAAGACAAAACACAGGTCCTCAAAAGGTCTTGTCCCGGTGCTCAGCACATTATTCACAGTAGCCAGAGACTAAACCACCAGGTGCCTGTCAGCAGCAGGCTGGAAGAAGCAACTGTGACTGCCTCCATACAGAGGGGTGGCCCTCGGCAAAAATAGGAGCAGCATGTGGTCACCAGAGTGGCTGGATCTCACAAGCATGACACTGAGGAAGAAGCCAGATACCAACATACGTAAAAGTAGAAAAGTTACTAGATCAGTGGTTTCTGGGGACAGGGTTAGGGCATAAGGTGACTGGGATGGGACAGGAGGGCATGTCAGGGTGGTAGAATGTTCTGGTCTCGATAGAGGTGCATTTGTTGGGCCTCTTCGGGTGGTAACCCTTGTATACATGTGGCCCGGGCAGTTTTAGCACCATCTGGGTTTCTGATGCCTCATCTGCCCATCTGGGCAGAGGGATGTGAATCCCAGACTGACCGCCAGCACAGGCCTCGACAGTCCACTTGCCTGGCAGCTCTAGTTTCAGGGCAGGGGAGGGGCCCCAGGCCGTAGGCAGCGTGACTTCTCCAGGTGAGAGGCCCCGTGGAGGGAGCCATATCCAAGACCCCAGGGGCAGCTGGCTGGGTGGTGGCCTTGGGGAGCACCCTGGCCCACCCAGTCCTGCTCTGCAGGTCTCCTTGGTCTTCCTGATCAGCGGGCTGGTCATCCTGGGCTATGCCGCCTCCGTCAGTGGCCAGGCCACCTACCAGGGCGTGGTGAGAAGGCTGTGTGGACCTGCCATCGGGAAGCTGTGTGAGGCCTGCTTCATCGTCAACCTGCTCATGATCTCCGTGGCCTTCCTCAGGGTGATCGGGGACCAGCTGGAGAAGCGTAAGTACTTGCCCTGGAGGTGGGGTAGCCTCAGGGTTCGGTGCTCCTTATGCCCTCTGAGCCTCCTGGTTTGGAACAAGATGGGGACACCAAAGCGGGGCCCTGGGGGACAGCAGAGACCGAGACCACCCCTGAGCTCCTCACGTCCTGGGGAAGGGAGACTTGGGATCAGTAATTACCAGCACAAGGAGAGTCCTGGTCGGGGGCAGGGGCAGGCTGTGGCTGGCTGTCTAGTGGGGTCCACTGCAAAGAAGCCCCCATGGGAGAGAACCAATAACACCTTGAGTTTTGGGACGTTGGAGACTAAACCCCATGCACCTGGGCCTCTAGTTCCCCACTAACAATTTCCCTCTAAGCACAGCTTTAGCTGCATCCCCAGCAATTTTGATATGTTCTGTTTTCATTTTTGTTCCATTCAAAACATTTGTTAAATTTTGCTGGGATTTCTTTGACTTACAGGATGTTTAATGTTGTGTGATTTGATTTCTAATTGTTTGGGACTTTTTTTAGATCCCTTTTTGGGTTCTATCTTAATTGCATCATGGTCAGACAACACACGTGGTGATTTCCATTTTCTTGGTATTTGAGATTCGTCTGTGGGCCAGCACAGGTTCTGTGTTGGGGAGCATTTTGTGTGGGGTGCAGTGTTCTGGAACTCTCCATCCGGTCAAGGTTCTCCACAGCTTGGAGCAGGTCTTCATGGCCTTGCTGACTTTTTGGATCTAATTATTCTATTCGTCTGGGTGAGGGTGTTAAACTTGCAGTCACAGTTGAAGATTTGATCTGTTTCTCACTTTTAACTGTCCAGTTTTGCCTCAGGGTCCTTGATGCTCCGTCATAGGCACCCACCCATGAACTACCTTTTATTGTTGTGAAATACCCGCTTTTGTCTCTGGTGATACTTGGTCACTAAATCATCTTCTCTACTAAAGTGTAGGCGCTCCAGCTGCCTTCAGATTAGTGGTTAAGCAGTATTTCTCCTCCTGTTCATGCTCTGCGAACCAAACGGTGGCGTAGGCTTTTCAATGCATTTTTCGTAGATAGCATATGGTCGTGCTTTTATTTTTAATCATCTTGACGATCTCAGACAGACTTCTAATTGGAATGTAATTATTGATATGGTTAGATTTCGCTCCGATGTTTTGTTGTTTCTTTGGTTTGTTCTCTCTGTCACTTTAGCCATGAATAAAAAGGCCCCTGGCTCTGGGTGCTGAGATTAGAGGCATCTATGTTTGGGGCAGCACTCTTACCCAGAAAGCATTGAGGCTGGTGGATCTGAGCCTACGGTGGGTAAATGGGTACAAAATGCCCTGCTTCCAAGGGGCAAGTCGAGGCCACATCAGTTTCACCTCGGGTCACCGGCCGTACTGCCGTGTGAGGAAGATTCTGAAGCCGCGTGCAGGCTCAGCTGTAGAGCCCAGAGTGATTAGAGTTGATTAGATACAGGCCACCTGGTTCGGGGGGGAGGGGGAGTTTGCTGAAGGAGGAGAGGGCATTGTGTGTTTCTGGTCCAGGCTTCTCAGGAGGAGGACTACCTGAAGGTTGGGGAAGTCACTGAATGTATTGGGTACAGATGAGTTGACTCTAAGTGACTGGTACTGAGGGTGTCAAGGAATGTCCCAGGACGTGCAGGTTCAGGCAGGAGTCAAGAGTATCCATGGTGTCAGAGCTGGGTTCCGGCTGCAGGAGATCAGTGGAGTGGAAGGGCTTGCCCACACGCACCCAGATCTCTGCAGCTTTGGTGCCTGCATTCTCTTGGCATCTCCGGCCCAGAAAACCTGCCTCCCCCTCCTGCATGGGCTTCTCTGTACAGTGACCTCGGTGTGGACCCGTCCCCTGTGTCATTTCAGTAGAAGTGAGCTATTCTCATAGGGCATTTATTTGCCTGCATGGCTGGCTTTATGGAGCATTTGGTGAGGACAGAGAAAGGGCAGTGCGAGTAGTCAGTTCTCAGCCACCCCCCAGTGGGGCTGTAGGGGCCCTCTCACTCCACAGGTTCCAGCCTCAAGCCACCTTGCCATCTCCCCTTTGCTCTCCCCTCCCCCATCCATCTATCTTGCCTCTGATACCAACTACAAATTCTCCATCGTATGTGGTGGAACAAAACAGTCCCAGGTTCTTAGTGCTCCCTCCACTGGGCTCTGTGGCATCTTGGCCCAATAGAGAATGGCAGATGGGGCACCATGCTGATTCCAGGTCTGGCCTTTAAAAGGACGGCAATTTCCCCCTGGGTCTCTGGGAGCCCCCCGCTGCCATGGACTAGGGGGTCCATGTGGAGAGGCAGGCCGAGCTGAGCCCAGGTGTCCCCACCAGGCATTGATGTGGGGAGAGCCTGGAGATCCCTTCAGACCAGCCCTCCCATCAGCCAAATACCCGCAAGTGACCCCCAAGGATTCCACATGGAGCAGAAGTAGCCCGCTCCGCCCTATCTCCTCACATCCTACTCGTGGCAGATAATCATGGACGCGCCAGGCCATGTTGGGGTAGCTTGCTGTGCAGCGGTGACAGAGAACATGGCTCTGCCCAGCACCAAAAAGCCACCCTGGCGCCTGCTAAACCCACACGCCCACTGAGCTCCTGAGCAGAAACAAAAGGTTCTGTTACCAGAACATAAGGGCCCAGGGGCCTCGGGGGCAGGTCATTTGTCTCACTTGTGGCTGCATTCCAGCCCGGGGAGCAGTGCCTGGCTGTAGGAGCCCAGGAAGCATCTGTCGAAGGAGGTTCTGCAGCCAGATCTTTCCTTCGTGGTGGCACATGACGGGATCCCCATCGCGCTTGTCCCAGCCCTTTAGACTCAGAGGGTGGACAGTGCCCATGGCAACCCCTGCCAGGGATGGAGAGCTGGGAGCCGGGGCAGGGCTCTGGCTGCTGGGTGAGAGCCACAGGCTCACTGCGGCCCCCCCCTTCCTTCCGCCTTCCCGCCAGTGTGCGACTTCCTCCTGCCCAGCGCGCCGCCCACCCTGCAGCCCTGGTATGCCGACCAGCGCTTCACCTTGACCCTGCTCTCCATGCTGGTCATCCTGCCTCTGTCCGCCCCGAGGGAGATCGGGTTCCAGAAAGTGACAAGGTACAGGCAGCGGCTTTGACTGGGTCCCCACTGTGGTTGGTGTTGGTATTTTGGGGGGCTCTGCTATGGGGAGCTGTTAGCATTGGCCTTCCCATTTGGAGAAGGGGGGAAACATTAGAAATTACACACAAGTAACGTGTGTGTGATAGGAAATATAGAAAAGCAGAAGGGAAAACTACCATCATAGCATAACCTGCGGCTGCTGTTTTATTTCACTATTACAAACTTCATATGCCCACACATGCATACACACAGGCACAGAGACAGACATACACATACTGTTTTTCATTTTGTGGTCCATGGCCTTATGTATATTTTTGAAGGAAAAAAAGAGAGTCTGGCAATATATTCATGTAAAATTTGCAACTTGTGTTTCCCTGTTGTGTTCAGAGCAACAATGGATGTCTGACCTTGGAAACAGAGAAACAGTGGGGTAGGGGACTAGAGCCCCCAGGTGCCCCAGCCTCCAGTCTCTTGTCACACCCAACTGAGTCAGGAGTCCTCCTCCCCGTAGCCAGTGTCACATCCGGGGCTGTGTGGCTGTTGGAGAGACAGGGTGCTGGTGGCCATCACAGCCTCGCAGGTGCGACCAGTTACAAACTGGCCCCATCTGACCCTGGGCCTGGGCACACTCCTGCCTGAAAGATCTCCCACCATCCCCGCCGTGCAGATGAGGGATCCGAGGTGCAGGGCCGTGAGAACTGCCTGGCACCTTGCCCGGGTGGGCAGAGCCGCATTCAGACCCCACTGTGTGTCTGTGCTCATGCATCGTCTGTGTGTTAGCTTCCTAGGCACCCTGGCCGCCTGCTACCTGGCCCTGGTCATCGTGGCACAGTACTACCGGGGGCCCCCAGGCCTTGCTAGTGAGCCCCGTCTTGCGCCGAGGTGAGTCTGAGGGGATGGCCTTCCCCGGCTTCCCGGGCGCTGCAGGGGAACCTGTGGGAAGGACACGTCTCCCCCACTGTGTGCACAGAGCCCCACTCCTCTCAGCCAAATCCTCGGTGTCTCTGAGGCCTGAGGTCCCAGCGCAGGCCCCTCTCCCCTCCAGCATGGACACACCGTGGTTAGTAAGAACCAGGGGCAGCCAAGGAACACAGCCCCGAGCCCGCTCCACCCTGGGGCTCCCGGGCCTTCACAGCTGTGTCCCCACAGCCTGGAGCTGGTGGAACCGGCCAGCGAGATGCCGAAGCCTGGGCAGAGGGAGCAGGGTGACAGAGGCCGGGGTGACCCCCCCCCCCCCCAGCCTGAGCAAGGCCAGGAGTGGGGGCGGGAGTCCTGTGGAGACGTGGAGCCTTACTGAGGTAGGGTTTTGCTGGGTGGGAGCACAGCAGGGGCTTGGGATCAGATCTTTGGGTGACAGGCCAGCTCCATAAGCACGTGACCTATGAAGTTACCCAGGGCTGCGCTCAAAATTAAGCCAATTTGCACTTGGCTTAATGCCCAATGTTCTTAATCGTTGTTGGACAAGGGCCCTCTGTTTCGTTTTGCACTGGGCCCTGCAAATTATGTGCCCCTCCTGGCCGACAGCTTGGAAGTGGAGCAAGAGAGAGAGGAGTCCAGGGTGGCCCGAGCATTGACCAGGAAGATGGCGGTGCCGTATCATAGGACAGAGGAGGAGAGAGGAGCCAGTGGCTTGGGGAGAGGCAGGAGGAGTGAGGTTGGAGTTGGTTTGAAT